GATGGCCACGATCTTTGTTGTTCTTTGTCACTTTGCTTCACATGTTTGTGAGTAAAAAAAATAGTTGCAGAATGGATTAACCTTATTTACGTTGACCCTTATGGGGAAATTTGACTTGGCTCACGACCAATTTGGGTCAGAGTCCTGGAACAGATTAAGTTCGTGAGCCGAGGTGCCCCTGTAATTGTGATCCTGAGATGTTGTATAAATAAGTCAGAATTTCGAAATGAAATTGCGATGAAAGACCTTCCGAGGGGCTGCGAGTTGGGCCTCCCTCGCCGTGCAGATTCAGTCCCTGGCAGGGATCCCTCTCGTGTCCCCCTGCGAAGCGTGCCTCAGATACTGGAGGGTACGCAGGAAGGGTGATAGTTTTGATGCGCACCCCTGGCGAGCGAGTCCTTTCCCTTTCCTCCCTGCCGTCCAAAGTGGTCAGGGAGGCTCACCGGGTGCGAGGGAAGCAGCACAGGCCTTTCGAAGAGCCCACCCTGAGCAAAGCCCCCTCCCAGCTCCCCCCCTCCCTCCCTCCCGCCAACCACGCTGTCTTCAGGAAAGCGCCTCGCTGTGGGACATCTCCACAGGCCCCAGGCCTTGCGGCCGTCATGGGGTGGCGGTGATGGACGGCTTAGCCTGGTTGCCTCCCAAGAATCATGACTTATTGCTCATTGGGAGCGCAGTGGGAATATGAGCAGAATGACTCAGCCCTGGCATGGCTGGAAGAGGGCGGCCAGGCGGGCTTTGAAAGCTGAGCCGTGGCCATCGCTTGGGCTGCAGAGGAATCCGAGTGGCCAGCTGCTCGTAAGGAGATCTCTTCAGCAGCTGGAATCCACATGGCTCCTGCAGATTCAGGAGAGGGTGCTCCGAACTGGAGACCTCGCTGGGGCGTGCTGGGAACTGCCGGCCTTTTTTCTGTCGGAACTTGTGTAGGATTGCAGCTTACCGTAGATCCAGGCTTAGAAAGGTCTGTTGGCTACCAAGATCAAAACTCGGCACCTGGGAGCCCACCTCTGGGGACCGTGTCCCAGCAAGGGCTTGGCGTCCATGTGCTTTCTCCACATTCTCCCAGGACTTTGGGTGCCCAGCAAGGTGGGAGAGTGCCAGCCACCCCAATTGCAGGAGGCTCCTCTTTTGAATGATGCTCCAAGTATCCTTTGGCACGATGCATCACTCATTCCACGCCGGTCTCCTCGGCATTTGACAGTCCCCATAAGAAGCAGCAACCCTTTTGTGCTGCTGAAAATCTGAAATACTTTGTGGCCCGTTTACACACTGCATGTGCCATTTTAGCAGCATGCATGAGCCTCTGCACATAGGTGTGGAAACTATATGAATGCACATGTGCGGACAAGTGCTCAGGGCAATCCCCTCTGTTTGCTGCAAGCGCATTTCGAAACCGTTTTACAACCTTTTAATTCTGATACCGCATTTGTCATCTGAGTGGCTTTTCCCACCCTGCCTTGGCCTTCACTGGCTGCCTCGACTCTTAGGTGAAACCCCAGATCTTCCCCTGGCTCGCTCACATATTTATTTTTATTTACAATATTTATAGATGGATTTCTAATTAAAATATTCAGAGTGCTTTGCAGGATTCTAGGCCACCTGTGGCTTCCGAACACACGCGGAAGCCTCTGCAGAACACACTGCGGTCCTCAGATCTGCGCGTGAGAGAAACACAGGTAGAGACGTCCCCGAAGACGTCTCACCTGGGTTCTAGGATCGTGAGAGGGGAGAAAAATGGCCCCTATCTGCTTTCTCCACGGCATGCATAATTTTGCACCCCTCTTTCAAGTCCCCCCTTACTTGCCTTTTTCTGAGCAGAATAATTGCAGATGTTGTAACCACTCCTCACAGGGAGACTCTGGGCCATCTTGTGGGTGGGTGATGCACAACACCTGCTTCACGAGGGGTTGCAACCATGCTCGAGCAGCTCTGTTGTCTGGGGACGCGCTCAGGTGTGACCTGTGGTGCTTTCCAGCTCTGGTCGATATGCCACCTACAGCCTTCCAGGAAAAGATGCTCTTGCTTCACCGGTCTTTGCTGCAGTCGCCCGCACCTCAGGTGCCAGGAAGATGGAGCATGCGGAAGCCCTACAACTCCTCGATTTGTCCATACTGGGACTTGGCTGTTTTGTTCTGTTGCGCATCCATGGGATCGTGCCCTGAGCGATGAGCTGAACTGCTCAGAGGAGGTCCTATGGATGCCAGCCAGACTGGCCTAGTGCTGCTAACTGCGCATAAAGACAGAGAGGCACTGGGATTGCAGGGTCCAGGGCACAGAGCTGCTGGAGTCTGCCTACGCCATGCCAACAATTGTTGGCCTATTGTTGGAAAAGCACAAAGGCGGATGCACCAGCCATTAATTGCTGCCCTAGCGGGACTGGAGGAGGGATGCTTTCGGTCTGCAAGCCCTACTAAACAGCCTCTCACTTCCTACCTGCCTCCTTGCAATCTACCAGCGGTCTTAGCCCCTTTTTCTCTGTATTATTCTGCTTGCCTGGCTGTGGAACTCAGCCCCCTGCAAATTCACCCCAAATGCTGCCTGCACATCACTGGGAAATTACAAAACCTCTGGCTTTCGGAGCTGAGAGTCAGGGTGGGAAGTGTTTGGTCCTCAGGGGACATGTTTTAGTCCTGCTCTGCTCTGGAAGGAGTTGGCATTGCTTCGTGTTACAGGCTGTAGATAAATCCAGATAGATAGTAAACAACATCCTTTATCTTCGCCCTTTAACTGTGCTTTCAGACAGACGTCTCCTAATGCTGCTAAACAAAAGATGCCGTGTCCAGTTTTGACCTTTTCTCTTTAACAGATTTTCTTTTATAAGGAAAAAGCTGGAAGAAGTGGTAGAAAAACATGAGAAGGTCACAAGTGGAAGTCCAAAAAGTCATTTGGACCTTCCTTAAAATCCAGGGAATGAGGCACAGCGATTGCAAAATAAAAGACCAGACTGGGACACCCTCTTCCAGGTCTCTCATTTGAGCAGGCTGGCACTGCTGCAGCTGAAACGTTCATGGAACAGAGTCTGGGAACCTCGGGGAAAGTTTGCAAGGGTGCAGTGACTGACTTGTATCCAGTTTCTGGGAGAGCCTCTTTTTGCTGCACTTTGCATAACCTAATTTGGATTCAAAATGTCTAGTGACCACCCAAGGACCGAACTAAGCATGAATGCTGCAGAAATTACACCTGCTTGCTAGAAGAACACACTTCCTACGTTGAAGGTATCTGTCTTGGACCTGACTTGTCACTCCTGTTCTCCCTGGCTGTTAGCCATTCTGCTCAGGGCTGATGGAAGCTGTAGTCCAAAACATCAGGGCTGCTGCCTTGGGGAATAACTTTAAAAGAAATGTTCTATTTATTTTTATTTTATTTTTATTTTTATTTAAGGCTTTTTTAGACCATCCATCTACTGCCATCTCAGGACGGTTTATAACAAAGAAATAGAGTATGGTATCCAATAGTTCAATATTATAAAAGCCACATTAAAACCAATTAAAAATTAAAATAATGGGAAAATAAAAAGGGTTTTGCTTGGCACTGGATATTAAAAAGCATCAGCACCAGGCAAACCCCTCTGGGGATGTTCTACTTGTTAGGTTTAAAGCGAGATCCTGTGGGAGCCCCACCGTTCGCCTTTTAAGAGGGCCTCTAGGGGCTCATTGTGTGCCGGTTGGCGAGTCCTCTTCCACAGCCCACGTCCTGCATGCCAGGCTCCGAGTGCCCAATTAAACATGGCGCCTGCTGGTCATCTGACCTGGAAGTTCAGGTCGCAGAAGTTTCGGGGGACAGCAGCGGGAACAAGGGTTCCCTCCCTGGTGCGGGCCATGCACCTTTGAAGGGCAGCCCAGGACAGCTTGGGCCGAGTCGGGCGCACACCCGGGCTGGAGAGCAGGACCATGGCTCCTTCCAGGGCCACCATCTGGACCCTCACGGATGCTTCAGAGGGACAATGCGTGACCGAGGGAGAGCCGAGCCTCAGCTCTGTGTTGGGTCACGAAGCGCAGCGACTTGTCCCGCTCAGCCGCCGTCTGTCCGGGGGCCTGTGGAGGAGGGGCAGGCGCTGTTTCCGAAAGGTCTTTGCTCGGGTCCATCCTCATCCTCAGACCTGGATGCGCTCCGGGTGGCGTGAGCGACCGCACAAAGACATGCAGCTCGCACCGGTACACAGAAACCCTTTCCCCATTTTTCTTAAGGTGGCACATTGGCTTGAGTTGGGAAGGTTAGTGATCTGGCTCTATTCCGGGGTCCAACAGGTCACCCCAAGAATTGCTGTTCAAGTACACTGGCCAGTTTTTCTTTGCTTGGTTTTCAATTTAATCCTGAATGTGTCCAAGAATGGGACTTTGGCCTACCTCTGATGGTTATTGAAATTTTACGTAGCTCATCAGGATACAGGTAAAAAATACATAGTAGGTGCTTAAAAAAAAAAAAAAAAGACAAGGGATCTGTTTGCTCCTGATATTAGATTCTTACATGGCATTCCTTCTGGCCCTAGAAGGGCTGGGCCAATACTGCATAGCACAGGGGGACGAAACAGCCTGCCCCCAAAGCCACTTGCTCAGGGCAGGGTGGGGTGGGGCAAGGAAGACCCCCTTCGCCTCCTTTCCTGCATGGAGCATGCAGAGAGAGACCCTTTCCTGGTGGCAGGGGAGGCTGGAAGGCCTCTCGGTGGGTTGCGAGCTCATTCCTGCAGCAGGGAATACAGCCAGCTGCGGAGAGCCCTCGCCACCTGTTCAATTAGAGCTTGTGAGCTGAGGCGGATTGGAATTTGACACTCCATTGCCTTGCTGGGTATCGGGACGGATCCATGCAGGCTTCTTGGATAGCAGTCGCGCGATGATCCGCATGCTACCCCGCAGAAGCCCAGATGTCACCCATAAATCATTAGCATACAGCCTGGCTCCAGGCAAGAAGGCTGAGTATAGTATAAAGGGCTAAAAATAATCAATCAAATTAGCACAAAGGTCAGACCGGCACCGAGGCACCGGGCAGCAGCTAGCTCATCCTAGCTGCGCAAGCGAAACAATGCGGTAGAAAAGATGAAACTGCTTCCTGGTTCTTCCCATGGCCATAACTCATGATGAAGCCTGAGATATGAGCAAGAACCTGGGGCCATGGGAGCTTGCAGAGCGGTCCTGTGGGAAAGAGGACATGGGGCGGGGGGGAAGGGTGCAGAGGCTTCTGGCCCTCCCAGGGCATTGCAAAACTGGCGAAAGCAGGCAGAGGACCAGGTGCAACCGCCAGAGAAGACACATCCGTGCCCCCAGATTCCACAGGGCTAATGAACTGTCACAACTTCTCTGAATATTCTCTGCACGACTGCTATCTTTGCTTGAGAGCTAGTGCAGTGTGGTGGGAAGAGCCGTGAGATCCGGGTTCTAGTGCTCATTCAGCTGGGAGACCCTGGGCCAGTCACAGGTTTTCAGCCCAGCCTACCTCACAGGGTTGTTGTTGTTGTGAGGAAAAAAATGGAGTGAAGGACAACTGTGTAAGCTGGTTTGGGGTTCTTGCACGAGGGCAAAAGGCAGGGCAAAGGTGCATTGTAATAATATCTGTGTTTAACACTCAGTGCTGTTTTGTTTCAATATCTGAAAACTGGGCCTTGTTCAAGAGCTGGCATGCTGTGATTTTCAAGAGCACTCCAGGCCCTGCTTTTAGTTCAGCCAATGCAACATTATTAATATTGTTGTCCTGATTCCTCCGTCATTGCCGTTAAGCAATTCTCTGCTATAAATCTGTACACTCAGGCAGTTTGTCTTTTAGACACACAAGGAGGGAAAAAAATGGCCCCTCATTTCACTTCTTCCTCGCTGTTTGCCTTTGACTTCCTCCAGATAATTGCTCAGATCCTTTATATTTCCACCCTGCAACGTTTTGTGTGGCAGTGTTTTCGACTGTGTATGATTCCCCCCACACCTCAAATTAGAAGCAGTGAGTGCTGGAGATCAAGGGAAAGAGAAACCAGGAAAACAAGGCTGCAAATGTATCACAGCAACTTGCCTTCCGACCACCGAAGCCAAGATCACAATAACAGCTGCATGTAATAATTACCTGCATCTCAACGGCAGCCCTGGGACTTGGCGTTTCTGCTTCCTGCATCAGAGGCGGCAGGGTAAAGATATAACAAAGAGCAGAACCAAGCTGGCGGCGGAAGAAAATACTGAAAGGAAGGTGGTGTCCACAGCTGGCTCAAGGAGCAGTAGAAAGGCCCGGATCTCCACCTTAAAGCAGGGCTGCACTTTACGCCTCCACTCCAGCCGCAAGGAATTCTCTCTGCTTAGCGCTCAGCTGTTGGCCACGGGGTGAAACCGGCATCCTTACGGTGGCACAGTGGGGCAGAGGGACATCCCTGGTTCAACTCCCCCTCGAGCCTCGGCCATCCTAGGCAGCTGAAATCCACCCACTTCCAGCCACAGCTCCCCACCTGCCATGGGGGATAATGCGGCTCCCCGGCATTACAGAGCTGTCGTCAGCAGAGCAGGGGAAACACACGAGCACCGTGCTCGAGAGTTGAAATATGCCAGGCCAATATTGGCACCTTATTATTACCTCCTCATCATTATCAACTAACTTCTGTAGATACTGCATTGTCTAAAGTGCATGCACTTAAGATTCTCAGCTGGTTCCAAGATCAACAGCGAACATGCTGACACACAGCCCACAGGACTTTGTCCTGTCGAGTCCCTTCACCTCCAGTCCTTTCCTGCTTCACGGACCTACAGAAAGGCCATTGGTTCATTAAGGGAGCTGCAAAAGATGCTACGGACTTTGGATTAGGCGGGGATGAGAGCTGATGGGAATGGGCGACATGGAGTCAAACCCACTCAGGTTCGCTCTCACGTGCTCTCTGTCTGCATGCAAACCTCCGATTCTACGAACCTCCAAGTCGGAAATACCAAAGTTGCAGGTCAGGCATTTGAACGCAAAGCGAATTGGCAGGTCTGGGCCTCTACGTGCTCAAGTACAACGCACAGATTTAAAACCAAGACGGTTGCTTCAGAAACTTGCTTCGAGTCAGCGTGTAGCTTTCAGCTGCCCTTCCGGGTCTTCTCCTTCCCCACCTGCGCTCTGCCTCTGGCCTCGCAGCATCCGCTGTTTCCCAGTGCTCTCCCCACTGTGCAGATCCTGCTGCCTTCACAAGCCCCTCGCTTCCTCCTCTGGCTTCCTGGGCTTCTCTTTCCCCAGAGGCTTCTTCACGCTCTGCTCTGAATCGCTCCGCCAGCATCAGCTGGAGCTGTTCCCTTCCTGCCCTGCCCTCTGGGCATGAGAGCAACGCAGCCTGTCGGACGGACGAAAGCACTCACTGTCACCACTAAAAAGCTCTTACTGCCCTGCTCTGCAGCATGCAATTCCTGCCCTTCTTCCTGGCACGGAAGCTTTCTGCAGCATCCCCACCCACACTCTCCGCGGTGCTGAGAGCGGGGATTTGGCCCTTGCGAGGACACAAACACGCCACTCCAACTCTGGAACTGTCTGCAGAAGTCCATGATTCAATGAGGAGGAGGATGACACCTAAGCTGGCCTCCCCCTCCCCACCCCCCCACCCATGCATGCATTTCAGACAGCATTTTTGAAACACCCAGAATTCGGTGCCCTTTTCATGGTCAGGTGGTCACACAGGCATCTGTTGCACAGTCCAGACTGGGAAGGACTGGCAGGCCCTTACTCAGTTCCTTCTGTCAGACCTTAACAACAACAACTACTGCTACAGCAACAGCAGCAGCAGCAGCAGCAGCAAGTACTGTTCGACTGCTCCCACAAATAGGCATTCCACTGCCCTTTGCTGCAACGAGACCCCCCCTTGCGAATGGCGGTTTGGCAACGGGCCGGAAGGTACCTTCCCTTTGGGGGAGCAGCTCCCGGGATGGCGCTCGGCTTCTTGTGATGATGATGCTCTGCTGGCATGTCCTTCGAGGACCGTGGCTGCACAACAGCTTCCGTGCCCGGTTTGCTGCATTTGGTTCATTCAATTGCTATTTTTTTAATTCCGTTAATGATCAACCGTGCTCTTGTTCTCCTAGTGGACTTTCAGATCTCTTGGAGTGACAGGCAGCTGGCACAGCCATGGAGAGGAGGCCACCTCAGAACGTCCTGGACCGACTCCTTCCCTAAAGCTCCGGCTGCCCTGGACTCTGGTCCTGGTTAAGGGCGTGGGAAAGCCGGCTCAGGAGAGCACAAGCCCTGGTTACTCTCCTGCTGGCAGAAGGAGTTTCTCTTTCTGCCGCCCTGTATTTCTTCACGGACAGGCACAAGTGAGCTTGCAAGAAGAGACAGAAGGGCATTTTGGACGCTGTTTTGGCCCCCTTGATATGCCCACTATGTGAAGAAAGACTTTGCTGAAAGGTCCGTGGGGAGACGCAGAAGGGGTGGCTCACACCCTGAGGGACGCCCCGGGGCTTTGCTGACTCGCAGCCTCTCCCCATACCAGAAATTGTAGCCAAGGGACGGCCTCCTTCACTGCACCCACGGCTGGTTTAAGCGGTGCAGGGCGGCCGGGTGGCCCATGCCAACTTCGCCCGCTGTGCTTCGCTCTGCCCGTCCGTCGGGCCGGCCCCAGAACTGAACGTGGCATCAGTGGTCACTGGGCAGCTCAGAGGTGGAGCGAACGTGTGCATGGAATGGCAGGAGGGAGCACCAAGCTGGAACAAATTTTAACGGGCCAGGAGGGTTGACTTACGGGAGCCCTCGCGCCCCGTAATGCATGGCAAGGCTTTCACTTTATCTGGCCAGAAAGGGAGTTCCTTGAGAGAAATATGGATATTGATTGATTGATTGATTGATTGATTTATAGCCTGCCTTTTTCCTACAAAGGGCTCAAGGCAGCTTCCATCTTTCTCCTCCTCCATCTTATCCCCACAACAACAACCCTGTGAGGTAGGCTGGGCTGAGGGTCTGTGACTGGCCCAAAGTCACCCGGTGGGCTCCATGGCTGAGCGGGGACTACAACCCAGATAGTCTCAGTCCCATATATGTATGGCCACTTATAGAGTTCAGTATTTTACACCTCATCCATGTAAAACAATCCCTTAAGGAGGTGTGTGTGTGGGGGGGGGGGGCGGCCACAAGAGGAGGGTCTTTTCTGCAGCAGCTCCCCATATCTGGAATGCTCCCCCCAAGGAGACTCACCTGGCACCTTCCTTACTTTCCTTTTGGCATCAGGCAAAGACCTTCCTTTTTAAAATATATTTTAATAACTTATGCCATAAGACTTATGTTTTGTATTTTCACTTATAACTTACTGTAATATTCATTTACTGTGTTATTGGTTTTTATTGTGTAATTGTGAGCCCCCAGAGGTGCTGTGGCAGAATTGGGCAGCATACGCATGTTTTAAATCGATCAGTCAATAATACATAAAGTTGTGTTGCTCCATAAAAATGACAAAATTTACCGTCAAGCAGTGTTCTTGTTCCCAGGACCAGCCAAATTTTGCTCAGAATTGCGGGCAAAGTTTTGTGATCCCCAGAATTCTTCATCAGGCACAGCGTAACAAAAGCAAGAGTGGTGGGGAGGAAGAAGAGGGGAGAAGCGAATGTGACGTTGAGAGTCAAGGGTGGAGAAAGGGGTCGGCCATTTCAAATTCTCAGCCAGGTGCATTGAGGTCTGCATATTTTGGGATACTTCTCAGACCCTGGAGACAAAACACATCCATGGCTGCATTCCCCATTTCTGAAAACATAAAAAACCTGTTACTTGCTTTCTCCAACAAAACACCTATGATAATTCTGCATTGCTATTTTGAGGTGTGGATTTATACTGACATCTGCTGGTAGCCAGATTTATAATCTTTCTGCTTTCTCATCCTAGCTAATCTGCCAAAGGTAACGTATATTTCCTGCTGGATTTCATTTAGTGCATATCTCTAAGGAAGTGATGGTTCAAACAGAGACTTAATTTCCAGGATGAAAAAGCTCTTTACGGTGAGGGAAAATATCCGGGCTTTTAAAGTTTCTTTATTTCAAATAGGAATATAAACTGCACATCAAAAATCCATTTAAGATTGGTGGATTAAATTTGAATTTAGGAAAACTCTTACTGTATTCTATTTGTTTTAGGTTGCAAAAGCACTGTGGGCCTTAAATTCAGCACAGAGATAACCAACTAAAAACTTTGCACTTTAAAACAAATACTATATTAAAGAAAGGCTTGCTTTAAAACAAATACTATATTAAAGAGGGAAACTGGTTCTTTTCATGCAAGTTCCATGCCCAGCATTCTGCGCGCGCTTAAATAATTGCTGACGACAACCAGGCACCCACTGCAGTGGGAAGCCCGGATGTGAGTCCCATGGAAACCAATGGAAGCAGCCCAAGTGCAGCTTCCATTCGTCGTGTAGGGCTTGCTCGGGAGTACAGCGTCCTTCTGGAATGTCTCTTCAGGTAGCTACAAACGTCTGTTAAATAATTTAAAAGGAGAACATCTTTTTTATTGTATACCACCACATGAGCATAATCCAATCGAAATGTAGTAGTTCGTTTCTTTGCAGCCCAAAAGTTGAACAGCCCGGGTCGTCCACAAAGCATTGCTAAGAACATAAAACATAGTGTGGAAACTCTAGAAGGGAAGGCAACTTCAGAATGAAGCCAAGATCCCAACTGCCTGGGCACAGCTTCCAAGAGCTTAAGAACAACAGAGTGTGATTGTGAGTGTGAGTGAGATCATTTGGGAAGAAACAATCTTCATCTAATGCAGGAAAGTTCTTTCCCGAATAACAGGATTTATGATCACATCACAAATTGTGCGCCGGTGGTTCCATGAACCCCCAAAGCTGTGCTTTATGTGTTGTGTGATTTCGTGAGTCACCTTCTGGGGGCGGTAAGCCCTGACAGTCAACTTTAAACATTTAAAATGTTTTAAATAAATATATAAATGAATGACACAGAATAAGATTTGGTTTTATTTCAAGTTTCTGGCTATTCTCATTTCAACCAGGAGAGGAACGCCATGGGACCTTCCGAAGCAAAAGTAAGAAAAAGAAAAACCAGACAGATAATCTGCGAATTGCGGCGCATGGTGCAACGTGTGCAACAGGAAGGTTTCAAGCAGGAGAAACGTGCTCGGGTTTGAAAGAGGCTCTCAGGTCAACGGTGCCAGCCCAGCCCCGTGGCGGCCGGCTGGATGGCCCGGTGTTTGGCATGCGCCAGCGCAGACTGCAAACCGCTGCATTTCCTGAGCTTTGGTTGCGATTCCTTTGTATCTAGGGGCCATCCTCAGAGATACGGTGCTTCGAGGAATATCGCCTATAACAGCGCTCCGCAAACGGGCGAGCACCAGATACTTGGATCGCTAGCCCAAATGGTCCCTCCTCACCCATCATGCCAGCCGAGATGGGCGGAAACAGTGGGCCAAGGCTTCTGGAAGGCACCCGGTCATACGAGGGCGAGACCCAATCCGCCTCCCGGAGGCTTGTCTTCCTGCTGCCAGATGTGATGCGCCCAATGCGGGCTTCAAGGCACCTGCAGAGCCTTTTGCCTGCCCAGAGCTTTTGCTGCCGCCCACCTGCCTTTTCCCCGGCCCCAGTCCGCAGCATTCCCATGAGGCTCCCTGGGCGATTTGAGGTACGCAACTATCTCCCAGCCTCATGGGGTACTTGTGGCCATGCAAGGGGTGGATCAGGCTGAGTTCCCTAGGAGAATGCCGACATACACATGAAATAAATATGGGATTCTGAAGTTCACAGGCCGAGGCCCACCTTCAGCATGGACCCTGCTGTACTCACGCACGCGTTTGTTTACGGCACGCATCTGCTGTTCCTCCTCTTCTTCCCTTTGTCGCTCTCAGAGATGATGCTGCAGCAGCAGTCCAAGAAAGGGTCTGGTGGGTATCATGTCCCTCCAGTTGATGACCAATGGGGTCGTCTAGCTGTGAGCCCCCAGGTCCTGAATTAAGGATTAAACCTAAGTGGAGTGTGCAAGGAAGCCATGCAAAACACGGGTTTGCTCCTGGAATTATTATTTCCTCATGAAAAGTTGATGCTGTGGCACTCCCTCTCTCCACAGCTTTGCATCTCCGCGTTTTTTCTCAGCACGCTGAAAGACTGTTCCTCCCGTTGTTTAATTTGATGTCCAGGAGTCGGAGCTGCCTGAGGAACCCTGTGTTGGGACAGATGCCTCTGTGTGAATCCACTGATTTTAAGGCTTCCACAAGGGTCAGGTTCTCATGAATCATCAAGTAGGCCAGCACTAATGTGGCCGAGCGGCTCAAGCCCATGGCGCAGTGGACAAACACTTTGCCTGCAAGGAAGCAATAAACAGCAGCACTGAGTGGATGTGGAGCAAATGTCTCTACTGAGACATCAGAGTTTTGGCAGAGTGCTGGGGGTGCCCCATAAAGTCCTAAATGGCCCGGGTCCAGGATACCTGGAGGAGCGCCTCCTTCCCTATATGCTCTCCCACCCCTTGAGATTTGAGGCAGAGGTCCTGCTCCAGGAGCCCTCCTTGATGGAGATCAGGAGGGTGGCTACTCGGAGGAAGGCCTTCTCTGTGGTGGCACCCCAATTATGGAATATGCACCCCAGAGAGGTTCGGTGCCAGGCAAACCCCTTTTTATTTTCCCTCTGTTTTAATTGCTAATTGCCTTCCTCTGTGATTTTTATATTTATTGGATGCTGTGCTACTTTTATATTTTTTTATCTTATTTTATTGCTTTTATTGTGAACTGCCCCGAGACATCAGTGATGGGACAGTATACAAACAGTTTCAATAAATAAATAAATAAAGTGATATGCTTTAGATTTCCTCTGATACTAGTGGCAGGCCAACCTCTGTCTCATTTGCACGGACTAAGCAGGGTGTGAGTGTTTAGCGCTAAAATGACATTGCAAGGGGACAATTAGGTGGAGCTCAGCTCGTGGGTCTTGGATGGTCAGAAAGCCGCCCTCTCCTCCATACCAGCTACCTTTGAGGACCGTAATACTGATCTACCTGGCACGGCTGTAGCAAGAATTGGCGAGAGAGTGACGTGATTCATTTGGAAGGCATGAATTTCATTCATGAAGTTCTTCTAATTGATCTACACCTGAGCAGCAACCCGCATGAAATGCCTGGGTTTTGAGACTCAAGAGTGGGCTCGCAGTTCATTCCCTCAGCAGAAAAGTGGCAAAGGATTCTGTGAAGAGATTGGGAACGTGCTTTGCAAGGCTCCGTGCATGGGGAAGAACCATTTTTATGCTGAGCTTCCCCTGGAGTGATGGAAGGGGTGGGTGGACACCCATATGGCACAGTCTGGGCTGTCCTGATTTTGCGGAACGCGTGTACCACCTTGGGAAAGGAACTTGACTGGGTTAGATCAAGGCATGCTCAGAGCAGGGCCCTGAAATCTATGCGACTTTACTACGTTGTGATGACTAATCATTCGATTTAATATGGTTTGGTTAAAAGCCCTCAGGGCTGCAAGGATCCGTTTTTCCTGATACGCTCAATAGGAACAGAGGATGCCTGAAGAGGAAAACCATATTCCTGCAGCCCAGAAGAAAGTTTTGCTAAATCACATCATGCATTTGATGGAAACCCTTTACTGTTTTATAAGATTCTCTCTTCAGGTGACATGCAAAGGTTCTGTCTGCTTTTGCGGCTTCCTCAAATTGTGGGGCTTTCCTGGCAATCTAAGCACTTCCTGGCACCAGCCCTTAATTCCTTGAAGCAGTGATGGGCACCTTGCGCAAATTCCATGTGGCATTCAAGGAGCAGCAGCTTCGGGCAAACACGGCCGGCCACTGGATGCTCCCCGTACCTCCTTCCGTGTTTAAGGCTTTGTGGATGAAGTTTGCCGCGTCGTGGAAGAAGACGCTGATGTCGAACGCGCTGCTGTCGAACGCTTGCACCCCGTAGTACTGAATGGGCATGCCGTGGTAGTAGCTGGCTCCCGTGTTGACGTTGTACGGCCCGTCGGCTGCATTGAGGATGTGAGTGATGCCAAGGCCCTGGAGGGTGTTTCTGCTTCTAGCTGCCCACCTGCCAAAAGATAACGGAGGGTGTTGCCACTGCTTCCTGTTGAAAGGGGGATTTAGGAGGCCTCCAGGAGGGTCTCCCTGGTCACATGCCCCTGCCCAGGTCCGAAGCCCCCCTCTTTCAAGGCTTCCTTCCCAGGTCCCGCCTCTTGATGCGCTGCTAGAGGAAAGGGCAAGCCCGGGGCACTTGCGTTCCCTTGCTGCCCGGCTGCAAGCTCCCGGGAGACTCCCTTGCCTGCTTGGATTCCCGGGACTGCCCCGTTCACCACTCCTTCCTGTGCCTTCTCAGTCACAATCAGAGACACCCTACTTTCCCCATGGAGCATCAAATGAATGCATTTGTGCTTTCCCTACTCCTTTCCTGCGAACTGTGATCCTCCAGGCGCTCATGTGGCAGAGAATCCAGGTAAGCGCCGGTGCAAGCCTGTTGCATTTTAATGCCTTCCCCTGGTTTGAAAGCAGCAGAACTGTGATGCTGATGTTTAACGAAACTGCCCCAGACGCCTGCCCAGCGTGGACCATTGAAGCGCTGCTGACACAGTTGCGGGCCGTGATGTCTCAGGGGATGTTTCCTCCTGGGGCTTTCAGGTGAGGCGTTCACTGCGCACTCGGCGTTCTCTTCCTGATGGACATTTTCTGGGCCTCTTCGCAACTTTGCTCTCCTCCAGAGCCTCTCCTGCATTTTCCAGCCTTTTCACTCACTCACTTATGTATTTATTTATTTATTCATTCTTGAGTGGGAAGAAAGCCTTGAAAGAGTTCTTCCACAACATAGTGGAAGAAAGCCTTCCACTATGCAAAGAAGTTGCAGATCTGCTACAGGGCAGCTGGAGTGCAGAACATCTCTAGAAGGGCAGAGGACCACAAACCCCCAGGGAGGAAAAGCCTGCAGGAAGGACCCATTTTTCTTCCCACAGTGAAAGCAGACGGAGCCTCAACGAGTGCCGGGCTGAGCCCTCGCGTGGAGAAGGCCAGCGTGGGATGGCTTATCGGAAGCGTCTCTTGGAACTTTCATGGAATGTCGCAGGGCCAAAGTTGCTGCCAGGCAGGGGGGAGATGCTCCTGGGGCCCCGCGCAGGGCTTCCAGTTGGAGGGGCCCCAGTGCCAACACCAGAAGGCATCCTTGTTTCCTTCGTGGATCTTCCATGCTTCTCTGTGTAACGGGCAGCACAATACAACTGGTGTGTGGGCAGGGCTGGTTTGGGGTGGTCCTGACTGGACACACAACAACCGGGAGCTTCCTACAGGCATCATCTGGCCACCGCTGGCGACTCAAACCTGGGCAGGCAGAGGGAGCTTCGCTCCCGCCAAGCGGTGCTTACTTGGGGTCCCCATGAAAAGGCCGCGAAGCAGCCCAGGTCAGGCCTCCTTTGCGTGAGCAAGCAACCGCTGTGTGTGCGTGTGTGTTTTACAGGACTTCTTGCTCCTAAAGGCCCAGCTAAGGACTAAGCAGGCTTAAGGACCCTCTCGACACAGGGGCATCTTCAGGCACCACAGAATCTAACTCTCGGGCAGTCGAGCCTCGCGAGCAACCCCCCCGTTCCCTTACGCATCTCCAAGGTAGAGGTTTGGCCACACTTGGTCGACGTGGTTGTCGGAGCCGCCTCTGTTCCATATCAGCCTCTGCAGCTCGGAGAGCGCTGGAGTCTCGTAACCCCTTTTGCCTTCGGAAGTGCAGTCCCTGGAGGAGCAGTGAGCGGCATGGATCATGTCTGCTTTTTGCTCTCAAGCACCTGATGCACAGAAAGGACAGATCTAGAACGAGAAGGAAGAGGAGGGTTTCTGTTTGCGAATCAGCCTCTACTCGACCCAGCTGCCTGCACACGGCAGGTGACCAGGAATTCTGCCCGGGAGAGCAGTGGCGTGCCCTGCAAGGGAGCCAGCAGGCTGCCCGAGGAGGGACGGAGGGCTGCATTCCTCTCCCACCAGAAGCGACGCTCCTTCTTCTCAGGTCAGTGCGGAACTGCAGCCGTCTGGTGGAGGAGAGGCGGGCAGCTCTGCCCTTCCTCCACAGGCTTGCTTGGCTTTGCCTCTCGGAGGGCCAGAAAAGAAACCGCGAGAGAGCCGGGTGTGCTCAGGGCTTGGTCGGGGCAAACTTGCCGTCGCTCTCCTGCTGGTGAGGTGCACCATGTCAGTTCCTGTGGACTAAAATTCATTCAGGTGGGGAGGAATTTTTAGCCCTGTTTTATTGTGGTTCTCATTGTCCATTTCATTGCCTGGCCAGCTGGTTTGGAAAGGGGGCTTGGAGGACTTTTCTCAGTCCGCTTGGTTTTCGCTGCCCAAAAACACCGGTGTCATTGGCAGACTTGACCACCTGGCTGCTGTCCCCTTCCTCCAGCCTCTGAAGGAAGACATGAAATGGATCCTCACCCGGTCCCTCGAAGGACCACAACAATTATTCCCCTCCAGCATGAAAACTCTTCAGTCAGCTCTCCCTCTGCGTCCTGTTCTTTCACCCAACACCAATACAGAAAATGCCCTCCTCTCTCATCCTGCGGCTGCTAGATTTACTCATTGAAAGTGTTTGGAAAGAGGCAGGACTTGGAAATAGCTTCTGCGGAAGCCATGCCAAGTCTTTCTCAGCACGATGTTTCCCCATGTATAGTCGCTCTGACAGTGCTTTTCGCCACCATGCTTGGGACAGAGGTTCGGTTTATGGACCTTTAAGAACATGCTTTCTTCCCCTGCTCTCAACGAACCCTTATCAAACACTCACTGTTACTTTGGCTACCTGCAAAGCCCTGAAAATGATCTGTTGCCTTACAAAACAACCACACGGAATAAGCTTTCCTCCTTGCCTCTTAAGCTGCTTAGATGCAAAACGCGCCTCTAAGGGTGTTTCGGATCAGAAAGTATTAGTCGTGATGAGCGACCCGATGAGCAAGATGCTATGGAATTCTAAGTGACGCGCTGGAAATCAAAACTCTCCGTCCCCCAAACAAAGAAACTAAAATCCTTGCGTGGTTTCCCTAATATGCTGAGAAAAATACTGGTCGATACAAACTTTCTGCCTGAATGTGGACAAATGAGGGAAGGGGGCTGCCTAAGATTTGGCAACTGCATGTGGCTAATGGGCCACTTTCAGCTCGGGGAGTCACTGGTTGGGAAGACTGGTGGAGGCTTCATGGGCACACAAGGTGCTTTCGTCATTGTTCAGGTGCAATTCTTGCAGGGGAAAGTAGTTACCTTAGCACCAGGTCGCTCTTAGCCGTGCAGCACTCTGTCTCCCGTAAGGTTTCCCGCAGCCTTCCTTGCTCCAGCGGTGGGTAATGGAGCTGCCTGAACCCCTCCCTGCGCAGTTACTTTTCTTAGCCGGGGCTCCTGGCGCTGTCGGCTGCTTCCCTGCAGCACGTTTGCGGATTGAGTTGCTGCCGCACTGCTATTGGACATGCTTGTGGCTTAAGTCTTGCCAGAGCGGCCGCACTGATCTGCGTCCTGTCATTCGAGGCGAGAGGCGAGAAGGCGGCATTCCTGGGAGGCCGAAGGGGCTGCCCTTGGGGTCACACGCTCCAAGCTGCCCAGCGTTCCACCACCGCGGAGGCTTCTGGCATTTCCTGGGGCTTCAGATTTCCAGGTAGGCTCTAGGGCCTCTCGGAGTTGCCCCGCTTTTCAACAGGAAAATGGATTTCAGCCCGGGTCCTTGCCAGGTCACAGAGCTGGGAAGGCTAAAAAAAGACCCTGACACTGTCGGAAGGCAGGAGATGCTGACGATAATGTGTCACGTGGACTGGGCCAGCACAGTGCACTAAGCCCTGGGACGTGGCTTCTGTGTGGTCTGAGCCCCCCACTTCTCGAGGGGAGGCTCAGAGGCCACCCCTGCTGTGGCCTCAAAGCCACCCCAACTAGCCGCAGCCTGCACTGGGTCATTAACCTCCCCGTGGCTTCATGGATCTGCAGAACTTGAGGGCAAGCAGAGCCACGGCTTAGGTTGAAAGGCTACTGAGTCCCTCGTGGTCAAATCAGGTCGCCACTCACTCGGGCCAAGCAACTGCAGCCGATACCGGCCAGTCAAGTGGCCCAGCAGCACCTGTGTGCTGGCAGTGGCGTCCCCTGGACCCGTGCGGGCGCCACCAGGTTCTGCCCCAGGCCACATCCCGACGTTCTGGCTGAGAGGCCAGTCTCCTAAACATCACACCGGCTTGCGCCTGCCTCCAGATCTTCCAGAGATCTGCCAAACGACCTGCCCCTGCGGAGGATGCCGCCTGCCAGGGCAGGTGGGGTGCAAGCACAGCACACCTGGGCCTCCTGTTCAGGCCTTGGCCATGGCGAGATGCAGCCAGTGCGCACATTTCCTAGTCTCTGCGCTCTTGAAGAAAAAGGGACACGTTTACTCCGCATGGGCAGAGAGTTCAGAACTGGCTTGCATTCAGCAGCTCGCCATGCCCTCCTAGACAGCTTTGCCAGTGCTTGGCCAGTGCCTAAAAGCATTTAATTTTCACGAGGCAACCTTTGTGGGCAAAGACTAGAAATTCCCCATTTCGAACACCAGATGCTGCTCTGCAACCACACAAGAAATAAAAAGAAACCGTCGCCAAGTGGCTGCTGTTAATGCTATCATTTTAACACTGGTGATATGACTTGTTCTAGGTGGGTGAGATCAGCAGACCTTTGGAAATCAGAATCAGAGATCTTTTCCCATTATTTTAATGTGAATTTCATCAAACAAAATTAGAACAAGAGAAATAAAATCATAAAATATTTTTGCTTTCTTTCATGAAATTTCAATAACTCAATTAGAACTGATACAAATGAAATGCATACCCTTTTATATTTACATAAAAAGAGACACTAAGCAGAGTTATGCATAGGCTTTGACCAAGGTAAACCAAATATCCACATGCTTAGCCATTCTTAGGTTATGTCCATTCAAAAATGGAAAGTGTCATGTGATCTGTTAGAGGTGGTCTGTCTTTCAAAAACTTGGAGCATGTGCAAAATCCAACAATGAGGAAGGGGACGCACCATTTGTGTAACATTGCATGGACCTGGTCAATAGCCTGAGGGTTCTGAATTTTTATTTTTTATTTAACAGGATCACTACTTGAGCTTTCATACTTATGAAGTGTGGCTTTGGGAGCAACTGGGCTGAATGAAGCGGGGGACCATACAGGGCCTGGGAGGGCTTCACTGGAGCATCTCTACAGATACCGAGCGTCACCGCTGACACGGGAAGAGGGCATAACAAGAGTGCAGACCCTGCCACGTAATTCTGACATGCATCATGCATACCTATAAACAGCTTTTGCCTCTCTCAGCAACAGCTAGAATTCCGGAAGAACGCTGCCGAAATGAGGTGTTTGCAAAGCTGCCATTTCCGGCCTGGAGTCTCAGCTGTGTGACCCCAGGAAAAGACGTCGAAATGTTTTGCTGAGTGGTACACGTCCCTGCTTGGTAAGTCATGAGCATTTTGTTTGGCCATTTTAATGCCATGTTTTTACATTTTAACATGGTGTTCTTAATTATATGTTCTTAAAATATTAACATGAAGTGTTCGTTTAATGCTTGTTTGTTTTTAATGCTCCTTTGTTTTTGTTTGTTTGAAGTGGTCAGAAGACTTATTCAATGAAGTCATTCTCGGCGCCAGGTAAAGACCTTTTTATTTAAACATCATTTTAATTGTTAAAATATATGATCTGGCCAGGGCAACTTCTTTTCCTTCTCTTTTCTCCTCCTATATTCTTTATTTACTTATTTTATACTGTTAATTTTAATTTTATATTATTATGTTTGTATCTCAGTGTATTTTTTGTATTTTTGTATTTAGTGGTAATTTATTATGTTCTATTGTATTTCAATGTATTTTATTGTGTTGTAAGCCGCCCCGAGGCTTCGGCAAGGGGCGGCATAGAAATGTTATAATAATAATAATAATAATAATAATAATAATAATAATAATAATTCATTCATTCAACATGGATGAATCCCCACTTGGCTTATTGTGCACACTTCTTGTAGAAAAGCCTTTGGCGGCAGCTACCTGGCTTGGCCACCAAATCTTGCCCGGACATGGTAGGCATGTGATGAGCATAGCTGGCTAGAGCCGGGGGTCAGACTAGATAGCCCGGGAGGCCCCTTCTGACTCGCTCTGTTTCTCTGTTTCTCTTTCTATGGTGCTCAGCATCATCCTGCTTGCTCCTCAGCCTGCCTGCCATCCACCCCTTTCCCCTTTCTCTGGATGGCTCAGCTTCCAGCCTGGGACTGATGCCCCCCCCCCCCCAGCCCCGCATCCCATCCCAACCCTGCTGGGATCCCTTCTTCAGCTTCCCACGTGTCCCGTGCAGTGCCCAACAAATCAGGGGTTTTTTGAACACAGCCATTTGGAGGGGACTCTTTCAGGAAATTAGCCCAACCCGCCCAATCTGGAAAATCTAGTCCACGAGCAATAATAACAAAGAAGTAAGGCGTGAAACAAGTTTTCCAGCCTTCAATTATCCAGGGTGTGGCAGAGGAGAAGCCTGGCTAGACATCCCGCAGGGTGTGCTTGGTTTTGCTGAAGACAAAAGACTGTTTGACCCGCAAAATAAAGATAATTTTTGCTGCCGCTGTGACTGCTCACAGAGGCAGTAAAAGTGGTGGGTCAGAGCAGAGCACAAATGCCACTGTGGAGGAGGAGGAGGAAGAGCAGGGGGCATTGTCAGAATGTGGGCCAATTCCAGATGTTGAGATGAGAGAAGTGGAGGTGTTTTTCTCGAGGCCAGATTCCCTGGATCTGCACAAATGTAGGGAAGGGGCTTGGCACGGGGGGGGGGGTGTTTCTCAGAGTCAGACGAGGAGGACAAAGCTCCTGACGCCATGATGCAGTATCAGGAGAGGAGGGCCACCAAGTATGAAGGTCAGCATGCAAAGGAGAGGCGTGCACATTTCCAGAAGGCCCCTCGCAACAGGATGGGGCCCAAACGTACTCAAAAGGGGAGTTCCTATAAGTAAATACTAGATTGGGTTCAACAAACCACTCTGTGCATGCTCAGAGGTTCATTCTGGGTGGCTGTGCTTCTGGAAAACACTTTGGTGCATAAAGAACTTCTTGAAAAGAAAGGTCTGTGGCTTTGAATGTGCAAAGGGAGGCAACGTAGCTCACATCTGGTTCTGTTGCTGTCTTCCACTAACAGTGCAACAGTTTCCTGATGTCCGGCTGGAATCCGACTTCCTGTGACTTGAGGCTGTTATTCCGTGTCCTGCGCTCTGGCATGATCAGGATTGATCCTGGCCCTCCTCAGAGTGGCAGCACCGGAGGACCTGGCAGAGGGCTGTCCTATCTCCTCCCAGTCTTCTCTTCTCAGGGCCAAACACGTCCGGTTCTTCCCATCCCAGCTCACGGGGCTTGGTTTCCAGTCCCCGGATCCTCCTTGTTGCCCTCCGCTGAATCCCTGCCAGCTTGTCCGCATCCGCCTCGCAGTGTGGTGTCCAGAAGTGGGCGCAATACTCAGGATGGGGCCTCCCCAGGGCCGAGTCCAAGGAGCCCCTCTGGAGCGCGCCGGGAGCTGAAGGCCTTCTTGCTTCCCAAATGTGGATGGGAGAAGCGTGCTTAGCAAAGGGCCCGTTGCTGCTTGCTTTGGCTCTAATCTCACGGTGCAGCCCTTCCGTGCATTCAGGCAGAGGTAAACTTCACAACATGTAAAGGCTGCATTTTCCCCGCCTTAAAAAAACACCCTTAATAGAACGGCTGCTTAGACACAGCGTCAAAGCTGGAGGGCTCTAACCAGTGGCTTGCATAGAAAATCCAGTGTGGTCTAGTAGCCCTCAATCTGGAAGCAGAAGGGAACAGACCCACACAAAGGTTGGTGCCCCAAGCCATATCGAGATCTGGCTTGCAGGCATCCCTTTCATTCCACCACCCCCCTCCAATTTCCCATACAGCAGAGGTATTTTCTACCATGCATGAGAAGTGCTTGGAACAATCTACCAAGTGCTTTTGTCTTAAATGCACAAGCTACCAATTAAATCTCCCTAAAACAAAGGTAATAAAATGAAGAATCCTTGCCCTCTTCTGCAGTCCAGTTGTCAACAGCTATGCATTAAACTGTTTCCAAAAGGGGACTTCTGAAATTCTGTTCAAGAAAAGAGCAAATTAGTCTTGAGCCATGAGATGGTGGTGGAATTAAATTTGTTATCAGATCTTGCCTCTTGTCCATCCACCCATCCGTCCGTCCTTCCTGCCTTCCTTCCTTCCTTCTCTCTTCATATTACAGAAGCTGACACTGCTTTATCTTGTGCTGCAGCTCCATGTTTAGGTCTTGGAGCTGTTTCAAGAATCCTCTGTTTGGGGAGATGGCTCGACTCTGCAGAATTCTTTCTACAGCCTCAGGCAAGGAGAAATTCTGGAAAATCATGAGATAGGCCAGAACCAGGGTGGCTGATCTGCTTTTGCCAAGAACACAGTGAACCAAGATCCTTCCTGTAGGGAAATAAGCAAACAGATAACAACTGGTTCATGTACTGCAAGTCAGAACGTAGGATGGGGGCAGGTCAGGACTGGTCGATTGCTCCATTTGGAAACTCTTAGGAAGTGATCTGCACAGGGATTTCTCCAGCGTGGCTGATTGACGTGGGCCGTGAGACTCAGCTGCCAGGCACACGGCATGCCTGCTCTCTCCGCTGCCTGGCGGACTGATCTGGACAGGGAGGAGGTGCTGGGGAAGCTGTCCCAGGGGTCTACTCATGCTGGAAGAGCAGTGATGGAAGTCCCTTTGCGTGGCCTCTCCAACCAGCAGATGGAGCACGGTATTTTCGGAAGGGCACTCCTGTGCGCCCGCAAACAGCCATAGCTTTGGGGAAAAACACCGGCACCGCAGGTCCTCACGGGCCTCCGTGTGGATCCTCCCTCAGTCCTGGCAAATCCCATTCTGGCCCCAGATCCCGTCTGGGGTCCAGGATCTGAGGCTGGGTGCAGAGGGCAGATTTCAGAGGCTTAGAGGCAATCTAACCTGCTTTTCCTGCAAAGACTGAATGAGGCCGTGACTCCAGGGCAGTCGCTCTGGGCATCAGGACTCACCATTGGGTGCCCCCAGCGCTTTGTGGATGTATGCGGAGGCAGGGCGAAAATAAATGCTGAGGTCAAAGTCTGTGGAGTCTTCTGCCTCTATCCCATAGTAATGGATTTCCCTGCCGTAGAAGGCTTGGCTTCCTTTGCTCCCCCAGGCGCCGTGTGCAGCGTTCAGTATGTGGGTGATGCCAAGTTTCTTCAGTTCTTCCTTGTTGTGGGCTATCGCACTACCAGGAAAGGGAGAAGGAGGTGAAGAGGGACCGCAAGAGCCCCGAGCGACGGAGCGACACCCAGCTTCCACCCGTGCAAAGCAGTGCTATTGCTACCCCTGCTTCTCTGGGGGGGGTGAGAAGGGATGGAAGAGCATGAAAGAGGGATGGAACTTCGGGACATTTGTTTTCTATTTGTTTTATTAACGAAGGTAGAAGAAGAGCTTGGTGGAAGCTAATACGTTCTGTTCAGCTGACTGCTAATCCGAGAGATTCCAAGAGAACAGCTGTCAAAGTCCCTGGACCAAAACTGCATCCTCGTTTGCTAATTCCTGCTTAATTCTCAGCTCTCTCTCCCCACAATTAAAGCAGCAGAGTGACCCAAAACTGTTTCTTCTGCCGTCTCCCACAAGCCAGAGGGCACCACTTAGCTAAAGTGAGATTCCCAGCTATCTGGAGAATTTCCTGTCCTTAGTTCCACTTGATGGAGGAGACAAACAATTATCTTTAATTAACAAGCATATTAGCCAAGAACATTAGCTAATACGTGCACTCAGAGCTGCTTTAGATCCTATTCTTTGTGCACGTGGACTAAAAGTCATGTGACAAAAGTTGCAGACCATAATATGCGGTTAGCAATACGAGAATTTTTGTCGACTTCCTGCTGCACACGACAGAAGCAAACTATATATCAGATTACATCTTAAACTGATCTTTTGCAGCAGATATTCCTCTCGCGTCGCAATCTTGGACACATCTGCTCCAACGCACGTCTCACCGTTAATGTCTGTGCTGAAAAAGCTAATGGCAAAGTAATTCTCCAGCCAGTCTCTGTCCTTCGAGAGCAACAGTTTCCTCAGTCCTAAGGCAACACTGTTGGCAGTGATTTGTTTTGCAAATCTTGTTTATCCTACACTCAAGTGGCAACTTCTTCCCCGTAACACTTACATGTTGCCGATATAAAGGTTGGGCCACACTTCATCTATTTCGTTGAACTCCACCCTGCAGCTCTCCAGAGCACGTTCCAGCTCCGTCACGGAGTCTGCGGCAGGCCTGAGGGGGCTCATGTGCAGGAGGCGGGGGTCACCTTCTGAAGCGGGTTCTCTGGCTGGCATCCGGTTGTCATCCGTCTGCGGCGGCTCGGTCACTGCACGGCTCTGCAGGGCATCTTGCTTTGACACGGAGAAGCAGCTGCAGATCTGGACGCGTGTCGCTGATCCGCCCACCCCCACCGTACACATGACGAATGGACGGGGAACGGACTTGACTGGCGCGGCGGCAAATAATACCCTAACTCAGAGTGGAAAAGGGTACCTTTTGCTTTGCTGAATCTTCTAGATCCAGGGAATAAATCCATGTAAAGGAAAGGCCGCCCTCGTTTCAGAGATAGTAATGGACAGGTGTTGGTGTTTTTCAAGGATTCCAGGACTTGAAGGAGAAGCTCAGAACTTTGTGATGGGGTTTCAGAACAAATGAGAAATGCATGAAGGAAATTTTGGGTCTCACATTTACCACTGAATCATTAGCTCCTTGCAGCTGTTCGGAAAACTGGGGGAATTGGAGGAGTGACCTTGGCTTTCTGGGGGGAAACAGGTGGGACAGAGGTTTCATTCTCTCCTTCAGGACCTCCATGGTTCTGCTCTAGGTCAGGATTCTGTGCACTTAGACGTACGTAAAAAGTAAGTCAATCCTGAGCCTCACACCTCTCCATTTGGATAATAAGAATTTTGACTTTTGGCTTCTAGGGAACTTAAGTACCTAGGAATTAAACTATATTAAAAGCTCTCCAGATAATATACATAAATCAATAAAATATTGGAGCAGTGGTGCATCAAATAAAGCAAGCTGCTGAGTGCTGCTCAAAGGCTAGCTAATTTCAGCTCACATACAGAGCAATCATTAAGATCCCAGTATCCCAAAAATATTGTTTCTTTTTCAAATCCCACTAGTAATAATCTTGCTAAAAGCCTCTTGTCGTGGGAACATTTATTAAGTACCTTTGTACACAATGGTAAAAGAGTCAAGTTTACCAAAGCACACGGCAAGGTAGTCTTTGAACACCAAAATTACAGACCTTTCAACGAAGGCACATGTTACTAATTCTAAACAAGAATCCTGTTTCTTGTTTACAGTCTTTATGGAGATGACTGAACAGCATTACGGGAGAAGAGTTTTAAGAGCAGCCATGCTGAATGCATGAAAGAAAATGCAACCCCCCCCCCCTTCCTGAAATCCATGTTACTAATCTGTAAACACTGGAATAGAAAAGTAGCTGCAGGGGTATTCCTGTTGACTCCAGGGCTGGCTCACCACTGGCTCCACCAACATGAACAAGTCTTGATTTTAAATACTGGGAGAGGACAGAGTTCTCTAGGCTACAAGACCTTTTCCATAGGATGCAGATCAAAAGAAACTGAGAAATATCCCAACTAGTTTTTGTACATCCAACAGGTGCTTCATTTGGTGTCCAATGCAGAAGCAAAAGGTAAGCGACCAGGAAGTTATCCTCTATACACAAGCCTTAAAGAATTGGTGTCTTTTTGGCAAAAAAAAAAAAAAAATAGAGCGTGTATTGGGACTGAGAAATATGCTGTTGGAACAATGAAATGAAATATAAAGAAACAGACTCATCCCACGTCTGAGAACTCAGCTTGTCTTCACATTTAAATAAACATCTTCGCATAGCTGATTTCCACAAGGAGTGGTGACGGCTGCCCATTTGGGTGTCTTTAAAGGGCGACTGGAAAAATGTATGGAGCAGGCGATCAACATATGGCAGGCTATATGTTGTCTCTGGTATCAGAGGCAGGGTGCCTGTGTGTACCAGTTGCTGGGGAGCATGGGCAAGGGGGTGCTGCGGTGTTCATGTCTGATCTGTGGGATTCTGCAGAGGATTGATTGGTCAGTGTGTAAGAAAAATGCGCCTAGACAGAACCTTGACCTGATGCTCTGTGGCTCCTAGCAGAGCTGGGATAGGCAGCTGGAGCCATATTTCGAAGCTAAAAACAGTGCTACAAAATATTTTTTTTTAGCTTTAAGAGAACAAACGCAATCCAGTTATAACCAAAATGCCACTGAAATTCTGAAAGCGAGTCCAGCTTAATGGTGGAGGTTTTGTGGAGCCATTGAAATAGCTGAGACAGAACTAGGAAAGAACTGAACGACAGGGTGGCCATGTTTCCTCTTTTATAGAGGGCACTTCTCTATTTGAAATGCTGTTCTGCCAAATTCTGCTTAAGGATAATGAACCCTGAGAAGTGCTGGTCATTTGCAGGTGGCTGCATTCCAAACAATTGTGAGCCGTACTATATTTCTATATAAATTAAAAATTCTTATTTGCCTTTAGACATAGCCTGTCACCAGCTTATGCAAATAAGTCCTTTCTTTTGTCCTTTTTTGGCGACACAATTTCTAATTTTTTGTGATGGGTCAGTGGCCATTCTAATCAAAGTACTTAAAGTAAAGGAAGGAAGTAATTTATTTACCGATATATTCAAGGCAGCAGTAACAGCAAAATATTTACATAACAGAAGACACAGAATATAAAAGCACAACATAAAAAAGTTTAAACGGTATAATGATGACAAACATTTTACTTATCTTTAAAAATAAATTACCAATTCAATTTTTAATGTTTTTAAGGACTGAGTCTTCAAATCAAATCACATCCTTATCTAAGGACACTTTAACATTTTCATTCTGCTAGCGAGATTTATCCTAACATCAAAAGATAAAGAGCGTGTGGTCTGCTCTATTAGTCAGCAGGATGTTCAGAGGGCTAGTAAATGTATAAAGTTCAGGAAGGCACATTTCAACTACTCGAAAAGATACCACTATAAAATAGAATCAAGCAAGAATATTGAAATCATGCTTTGCTGGAGTGAGAACGACAAAGCTCCTGGGATGGCAATGAATCAAGTAACAATAAAAGGAATTAATTCCGTCCATCTCTTTCTCTGATATCGTCCGGCGCCGTCTTTATTTTCCTTTCAGCACCAGGCAAAGACCTATCTTTTTAGGAAATTTGTTAACGTTTAACCTGCCTGCGGTGGCCCTTTTTAACTGATTTTATAGATGTTTAATTTGCTATGTTTTAATTGGTTTTAATGTGTTTTTACTCTGTTAATAAGTTTTATGTATTGTAAGCCACCTAGGAAGGCCTCAGTGATTATAGGCGGCCTATAAATATGTGTCAATAAATAAATAAATAAATAAATAAATATCCATGGCTAGTAATCCAAAGCCCCCCAAAGTAAGAGCACCCCTTGCTGTTGGATGCCCCCCCCCCATCACTTTCCACAGCAAGCCTCAGAGCTGAGAACTTCCTTGTCTTGCCAAATTCATGTTGCCCCTTATCCACCGAGCCCTCATCCTGTTGGTCTGGTATCATCCACAATATTTGTTTTTGTTTGTTTAGAGAAAGACTAGCTCCATGGACCATCAGTGGTCATTTTTTGGAATAGATTAGCAAACTATCCAGAAATTGATAAAGAATAGGTTATCACTACATCTGGAGTAGAAAGTCAGCATGGCTCATAACACCCAGCTCATAAAGCAACGTTCTCCCCAAGGGGAACAGCTATATTCCCCAGACTGATATTTGAAACTGCTTTTGATGCTGTGACTTCAGTGACAGATGCTGCAGCTCATGGAAAGCCAGAACTTCTGCTATTAATCTCACTTGTGTATAGCCAATTTTCCCCAGACTAAAGTAATTAAGGCCTCATCCTTTCCACCATTTTCTCTAACAGGCATAAAGGTTGCTGCATAGCAATAGGGATCATAAATTATAATGAAATATAAACTCCTCCACATCTTCATTAACCCTAATCGAGAACTTCAGAGCACCAACATTTTTTCTTGGACCTTTATGATGTATAATGGTTGGCTCAAAATTATTTGTCAAATTATTTTCTGGCTTGGCAATTCTTTTTACACTCTATAGAAATTCCCTTTAATGTTCCTGTCGGTAAGATTTTTGGATGCTTTAAAGAATGTCTTTGCATGAAGGTTGTGCTCCTAGGCAACAAAGCATAGAGAGGTAGTAGATAAAAATGCTGGATCTGACCAAGGAGACCTTTGTTTAAGCCCCTGCTCCAATATGAAATCATGCCTGATGGTCTTACACAAGCCCTTTGGTTCCAGCCCTCCCTCATGGAGTTCTTGGAAGATGAAGAAGGCTGCCTCGTGCATGCTGGCCAAACACGATAAACACAGTGAAGCCATCTCAGCTGCCTGGCAAAACGAACTTTCTAAGGTGAAGGACTCTCTTCCCCTGCAGAGCTTTGTTTCCCTCTTTATGGATCCCCCAAGTGGCCTCTTGTTCCACCTTGATTTTGTGCAAAACAAGAAAAGTTAAACAAAACATCAAATTCTGCAGATACAGACATTGATTTGGCCAGACCAGACCCTAAGATAAGGCAAAATAATCACCTTTGTGTAAGCTGTATTGATTGACATAATTTTTGCAGATAGAGTTACCTGCATGCAATGGCTGATGTTTGAAAAGCTAGGAAATTAACACGAGGAACACATTGCAATGAGAACATTTCACGTAAGTTAGTACACAGCTTTTAAAAAACCCCAACCCCAAACCCTGGTTTCTCCTGGTTGCTGGGGAGTTGTTTTCTCTTAACTTAATGTTTTCGTAGCTGAATGTCCAAATTTCTCAGTTGCTTCAGAAACCCTCGATTGGGGAAGATCCACCGATGCGCTTTCACGGTCTGAATGGCTTCAACCAAAGATAAATGATGGTAGATCATGAGGTATGCCAGCACCAAGGAAGATGACCGGCTTATCCCAAAGGCACAGTGCACTAAGATTTTGCCTGTAAATAAATAAAAGAAAAAGGTTAGCAGCAATTTTAATAGTCTTAAAATAGGGTGTCTTAAACTACCAAAAAGACCATGAATCTCAAGAGAAGGATCTAGTACCTTTAACAGTTGTTCTTTCCAACCTTAACAACAAAAACGTTTATTACAAATAAGATTTTACCCGCATTTAAACCTAAGCCACATGCCTTTGCAATGCACAGATTCCCCAGTTCAAGAGAAACAGAATGAGTTATTACTTTTCAATTAGCATGTAAAATTCATCCATCAAAATCTACATTTTGGCGTTCTGGGTGAATTTTCTGTTCTGAGGCAAGTCGCTTTCCTCCATGAGAAGGAACCTACAAAACAGAGAAATGTCCTCCTCCAAGGGGCAAGCTACAGCTTGCGTGGGGAAGGATTTCTTTCCCAAGATGGAATGGGGGAAAGTGTTACCAGTCCTCACCCAGCGCCCCAGTCACATTCCTGTCTGCTAATCCCTGTGGGCCTGAGTTAATTCTGATGAGCTGAACAGAAGCCGGGCCAAGCCACCGCCTGCTGTTAGTTACCCTGCAAAATATGGATACGCAGGCGAAGGGGAACATTCTTTTAAAATCCCACTGATTTCACTGGGAGAACGAAGCATGATCCGAAATCAATGGACTTCCAGGGCTAAACCTGAGCAGGACTGTGCCTGACGGTAATGTGTGAAACTATTGCTGGGGAATTCAGAATAAATCCTGGTAGGAAAAGGTTGCTTATATGTGCCTTTGCATTCTGCAATTCAAACTTGTGCTCCTTTCTCAGAAGGCAGGAGAATCCCAAGCCTGGCTACTGATTAGCATTGAGACTGGAACTTTCAGTTTTCCTGCGAGCAGCTGTTCTTGTGCCAACAGCAACAAAACCGGGAAGGCACAGAGAAGTTTTTCAGCAGCATTGCAATCCCCTTAATTTGCATGATCCAAACTCAATAATCCTTGCTTCCCAAGGATGATCTCCTGTAATCAATGCGATTGATTCTCACCTTCTCTTCACTGTGTTCCCCTTATTTCGCCATCACCTTATTTCAACCAGTTATTATGGCATGTGACTCAACCTATAAAGCACTCTGCACATGTTCTGGGCGCTTGTAGTCCATCTGGCCTCTACCCACCAGCGCTGTTGTAAGTTTGGGTTCTCTGCAGAAGGTGCCTGACTGATCTTTCAATAAACTGCTGAGGTTCAAGGCAAAAGGGCTCTTTCCCAACTGAACTGGGTCATCCTGACCTGCGGCCAGTATGAGATGCCCTGGCACGATGATGCAGGTGAGCCTTTCTGTTCCGGGATGCCAGCCAGCGCACGTGAGTCTGTAACTCCATTCCTTATATTTACAGAAGCAGGGACTCTGGACAAAGATTTTTGTCACAAGGTCATTCACAGAAAAAGGGTGCAGGGCAGGAAGGCGATGCCTTTGGAAAGCAATAATGCTTTGATTGTCTTTGACAAAATAACCATAACATCTCGTATTTTGCATGCAGGGTGTGCTGGTGAGACTATTGGGAGAGATGGTTTTGCTTCTCTGTGTTTTCTGGCCCTCCCTGGGTGAGCCCTGCATTGACTTGGCTCCCACACACTGTAGTTAAACACATTTCAGGTAATATTGAGAATGCTGAGACATCCGCTAACCGAGCCCTGGCCTGGCAAAGTTACTGGGAGAGGAGCAGTCGCCAGCCGGCTTGTGAAGAGTGGGGACCAAGAGTGCACGCTTCTGCCCGCAGAAGCAAGAGAGGTGGCAGGAGGGGAGCTCACTGGAGCTCAAGAACCTCCCTGAGAAGTTGCAGCTGCCATGCGCAAATGAGGAAAACTGAACGGGATAAGGGGGATACTGATAAGGGGGAGAAGGGAAGCAGGAGGTGCTTGGAAGGGAGCAACTGACGAAAGGCTAAGGGAGCGAGAAGGTCAGGAGTAATTCCTGCAACTCTAGCTCAACCCCAGAGAGGACTCAGAGATGAGACAAAGGGCCAAGGTGCTCAGCAGTCCCCTGCCTTCCCTCTTCGGTCACAGGAAAGCACTGGGGTGAAGCCAAGAGCCCGGTTTCCTTCTGCCAGGCCTCCAGAAAGAAACTGTGCGGAATTCTGCTTTGGGTCAGCTCCTGTGTGCCGACAGCATTACATACTAAATGCTCCACCATGTAATATCGACTCGCCTACTCACAGTGATTCCATACCTCCTGGGGTAGCCAAGCCTTTGTGTATGAATTCGGCCGCAGAGTAAAAGTACCGACTGATGTCAAAATCGGGAAGGTCGTGCGCCGGTACACCATGGTATTCGACGGTCGTGCCATAAAAGTCATGCGGTTCCTGGCAATAAATGGTGCCATGGGCAGCATTTAAAACATGGCTAATGCCCATTTTCCACAGATCAAACCTGCTGTGGGCTGTAACGCTGCAGAGGAGGCAAACAGAGCGTGTGGGGTACATCGGCAGGCAGGGACGCGGTACTGAGCCATTCACATTCCACTGAAAAAGGACCAGCCGTTAAGGGAAGGCCAGCGCTGTGGCCTGAGTGAACATTCTGCACTAAACTAAGAAAGAAAGAAACCCACGTCCCTTGGTATGCTTAGTTGTATCGGAAAGCCAGCGGTGTGATAAGGGCAGGTGGGAATGTTCTGTTCTGGCTAGGCTGTGCAGTGAACAAGGTCGTGTGGTCTTAAATGGCAGCAGAGAGTAGACTGAATATCACAATTTAGATATCAGTCTGTCGGCTCTGCAAGACCTGGGAGAGTTTCCCAAAAAAAGGATAAAGGGAGGGAAACCAGACATTGGTTTAACAGTGACCAAACCCTGCTTGAAGGCCCACGACTACCTGTGGCCGTGAATCGGCCTTTCGAGGGGCAGGGCAGGGGGCAGACTGGGCGGAATCCTTCCACGTGTGCCGGCGCTAGAGAGGTGGCAGGAATTTCTTAGATGGGAGTTTGCATAGGAGTGAGCAGCCTTGCCTTCGGGGCACCTACAATGTAGGTTTATGGAAAATGCGGGAACCGAGCCAGCAGATACAGCGGCCCGTCTGCACATCCCACCTTTTTCCTCTCATGAGGGAGCAGGAACAGCTTGACTGGGCTGAGAGATTGGAGCTGACCAAGGTCAGGCAGCGAGCTCCAGGGCTGTGTGGGGACCGGCACCCGAGTTCCCTGGAGGCCCCATCCAGTGCTCTCTCCAACACGCCACCTCTCCATAAAGCAGCCCATGATGCTCAAGAAGCACCGCGTGACTGCGACAGCTGCGGAAGCTACATCCAGGCATCGCGAGGGCTGCAAGGGGTGGACGGTAGGAGCTGTTCCTCCTGGCCTGGGGTATGAGGCCAAGCCCTGTTGCCCCTGCCTGAGGTGCACCTGGGCCTCGCACTTAGAGGCCTCCACGCATCCATGGCTGGAGTGGGCAGTGCAGGAGGAGCCTTGGCTGCTCCCCTCGTTGGCCCATGCCTTCCGTCACGCTGGGCTTTGGGATGATGCTCCGGGGACCGGTCAGGAAGGGGACTGGAGCACCAGGAACAATCAGTATAGGCAGATGGCCCCAGACATCTCCCCACAACCCCGTCATTGGGGGCCTTTTTACTCCTGGAGGGGTTCTTTTCACACGGGCTGCAAGGGGCTGAGGCAGGGGCTCAGCTACTGAAGTCTGGGCACAGTTGGTGCTGGGCCTCAGAAGGAGCCTGCGCTCCCCCTCCCCATGTCTCTCTGAAGCCACAAAGGCTCCGCACAAAGTATTCACTTCTGCTGGCCATCAGCTAACCCCCATGTCACAGGGATGCTCCGGCAGGAATGCAGGAGAAAGTGTCTTTTATTTAAATGGGGTGCGTATATTGCTGTATAACTGGTACTGCATCCAACCAGATCGCGGGCTTACGCATTTGGTGGAAGCAATATTTACTCACGCACCGTTCCTATGTCGGAGGAATCCTTAATTGCTCATAAGATACGCTGAGCTGTCCCACAAAGACATACTTACTGATCTCCTAAGAAAAGGTTGGGCCATACTTCGTCAACATGATTACAGGAAGGCCTCCCGGCATTCAAAAGCTGTTCTATTTCCTTAACGGTGGGGGTCTCCACGGAGGGGGGTCCAGCACCTTCGGGGTCTTTGGAGAGCGATACGCACTGTTCAGCCATCATCATGAAAGCGGCAGATCTACCCTCTGAAACCTGAGAGAGTGAACTGGTTTGGCTTGTTTACTGTGAGCCGCAAGCTTGTCCAGTTGTCACTTTGCATTTACTCATAATGACAGACACTGGACAGCAGTGAAGAGTGTGGCCAACTAAAGCAGGGTTTGTAAAAGGACTGTATGTGTAGCTCTCCAGGGAGGAAAGCCGCCATTTGATGACAGCCGGCACTAAATAAAAGACAAAAATGCAAGGACCGGAACAGCGAGTAAACAGGAAAACAATTTCTAGCAAAAAATAAATTGAAAATCTCCATTCCACATGTCATCTCATCTCTTGGGCAGAACCTCCATTATCATTCAAACACTCTTTGTTCTGTTTGGGTAGCCATGGGCTTGCCTTTTCTTGTATGAGTTTGCTGAACACAAAGAAGCCTAGTGTATGCTGGAGTTGTTTTCATTTCATTTATTCATACAATTATTTCAGACCCACCTTTCAGTGCAGGAAGGGCCCTGAATGCAATTTATAATTTAAAACTTTAACAAGTGGCAAACCGCTTCATACCCAGCAAAGTTAAGAGCAGGAGGAAAACAATATTTAAAACAGATGGCAAATGCTTTAAAGATACTCCAGTGCCTGGAAGAAAGCAATTTAATCATCCACCTGGGGAGCAGTAGAGCTGGAAAGGGCCCGTAAGGCCATTGAGTCCAACCCCCTGCTCACTTCGCCCCTTTCCTTTGGGCCTGCCCCTTTCCAGCTTAGCAAAGGTGACCTGACGTGCTGGTTTGTTGCCAAGCTACGGGATGCAGGCAGGCTGTACCAATCTAAACAAAAATGGAATCATTCTTATCTCCTCAGGGATAGAGTTCCTTAATTGGGAAGTCAACACAAAGAAGGCCTTGCCATGCTTTTGCAAAGAGTCCGTCTTGGTGCTGGGAAGGATTTCGTCTCAAGCAGGTCCTAAAATTGAAGGCAGGTTCATATGGGAGAGGTCTTTCATGGATCACAGCCCCAAACAATTTAGGGCTTGATAAGGAAGGATGAATGCTTTGAGTTGCTCTGAGAAACACATCAACTGCCTGCACAGGGAGGGCGAGACCAGCGGAATCCGGCTGCGAGGCATTCACAGAGAGAGTCTGGCTGCCACAGTTGGCACTAGCTCCAGCTTCCAGCCCCTTCAGGGGCAGCCCATCCAGCACACGTTGCAGTGGTACACGCAGAAAGTTGCCAGATCTCTCTTCTCCAAGAACCGGCACAGCAGCGCAAACTGGGCAAAGTCATTCCTGGCCTCACTATTCAAGAGCAACGCTGCGTCCAGAAGCAGCCGCCTAGCTGCAAACCTGATCCTTCTTGGGAGCTCAACCCCATCCAGAACAGGCTGCGCCTCCTTTTCCAGTTTAGCTTGGCAGCTGACCAACAACGCCAGCCTCATTTTGTCTGGATCGAGCCTCGGGTTGTCAGCCTCGGTCCCCTCCATCCCTGCCCCTCAGCAATGGCCTTGTGCACAAAGGAAGAGAAGCCACCTGGGTAGAATTTCCCTGTGGAGCAACTTCTCATGGCAAGGACGATTATTTTCAATGTTTGGGGTGTAGCAGGGCCATGCTGCAGCTTCTCCTTGTGAGGAAGTGCTGTTGGGTGGATGACAAGCCACCCACAACCCATGGATCCTCGATGCCTGGTCCGTCCGCCCAAGAAGGCGCTCCATCTGGCTTTGTGTGCAGCGAGAAGCCACGGCAGCACCTGCCTGGATTGCCAACTTGGTGTGCCTGGGTACCACAACCCACAGTGGCCACTGCAGAGGGCTGCACTGATTGAACAAGCCGGCCTGGTATTTCGGAACTTCCCCACCTCCCTTTGCGCCTGTGGCGATGAGTGCATCAGTAAGACGCAGCAAAAACAAACCTGTTGGTCATGGAAAGTAACAGAGCATATGGCCTTAGAGGGGCAGTATCCAGTACACAGGAGAGGTGGACCTAGGCTAGGGAGGCCGATGGCACGGCAACAGCCAGCCTGAGCAGTGAGCGGATTGTGATGTCACTGGCCATCACCCATCCTCCTGGCTGGTTTGTTCAGTTTAAGCATCGTGAGTTGCAAACCCCTCTGTGTAGCGGGTGTCACTTCTACTCCGGTCCTGATTTTTGTGTTGTGTATCAGTGAATCAACCTACATGGGAAGGTAAAATGCTTTTGGGTTTGGGAGCAGGCTAAGGGGAAATGATTTCAGAAGGGAGCAAGAGGTCAGCGAGGTCCAAAAGCCTGAAAGGATTATGCTCTGAGGCTGTTTGTTGCTATTCAGGTTTGTTTTTTTTTTAAATAGAGAAAACATAAAGAATAACTATAGAAATGTTATTAATACAAAACAGTCCCCCTTTAAGTATGTTTAGTTTTTTTTAACTGAAGGAATTTTATTTGATCCGTAGTATCCAATTTTTAAAAGACTCATTTGGCAGAAATGGAAGCACCAAAGCAAACCTGCATATTGCACAGCACTTCAGCCTAAAAATCATGAACGCAAAACTTCCACATATCTTCCTGCCATATAATTCATATATTTTATTGTGTCTGCTTCAAGAAAAAAACAGTCCTTTAAAGCAGGAACCATTTTCTTGCTCCTCTTTCATTTCTTTGGCTAGTTTTGGACCTCGACTCTGCTGGGATCTTGCACCTGTTAGCAAATCCTGTTCTGTGCTTCCCTTCTTACTCATCAGCCATGGTGTTTTGCCAGTCGGGGACGGCCCATAATTCCAGCAGCTCCCAGACTTTTGGGCTCCAGATCCACCTGTAACTCTGATTGGCAATATGAATCCTCCGTTTAATTTTGTTTCATGCACACTTGCACATCACTTTAATGTTTTCTCACCCGTATGTCTTTCCTTCATTGTTCTCCCTAGCAAAGCGGAGTCAAACTGCTTTCCACCCAAGGACCAATGTTGGTGCTGGTGACACTCCCCGGGGTGGGCACATTCTGTGGCAGGTGGAGCCAAAGGCAAAGGGAGCAGGGCTGGAAAACCCCTCTGTGTTTTACCTTAAATCTCTTGCTGCCAGTAACTAACTACACCTTAGGAGAGGCATTTCAGCTCTGTAGAATGCCAGGGTGGGGCTGAAGAAGCTGCCCCCAATAGAAGTGTGTGGAAGAAGCTGCCCCGAATGGGTTGCTGGGGAGGGGCAAAGGGACGAGGCCTTCCGAGGAATGCGAGGGGCAGATTTCCCCCATGCACCTGAAAGACAATGCACCTGCTTTGGGAAAGGTGCAAAGGGAGACGGGGCTTCAAATAGACAGGCTTCAAATGGTTGCATGAAGTGTTCTCAGATGGGGAATGAGAAGGGGCTCAGCGTACTCTTGTTGTTTATTCATTTGCTCAGTTTACGAGTCACCTTGTAGCCAAAACTGAGTAGGTTATGATGGACATTCATGTAATTAAAATATAAAGTTGCTGTTTAGTGCGTTTCATTAGACCTCACCCCCACCATTCAAGGACTTGATGTAGAACGTGGCAATCTCCCGGGTGCAGCTTCTTATACATGGGTGAGAAAAGCTGCAGAGCAACCCACACAAAAGCAACTCTTTGTCCTTCTGGCTGTTTTTGTTTGTCTCTCTTTGTGTTTTAATCCTTCAGTCCTCCCCTAAGGCAAAGCAGAGACAGCGAGTTCCCAGAAAAAGGAACTGTTGCATTTGGCAACACGGGACAGTATTTAAAATCGGGGCAAGAGGTGCTATTTCCTGCATAAGGGTCAGTGAAGCATTTTCGCATAGCGAGTCCAGGCACTGGCAGAGTTCACAGCTTCATCACTCACTGATAAAGACAGAGTGGAAATGACAGTAAATGTTAATAGCTGACAATTCAGTGTTAAAACTGAGGATGAGATCAAATAGACTAGTGATATTTTGAAAGGAGAGAATGCCAAATATGTTGTCCCTCAAAACTCCAAAAGGGTTTGGGGTGAAAAAAACAAGTGTTCATGCCTGTGCTTAGGGCACAGGCCCATTGGACTGGCACCCACGGAGAATCTTCTGGGAATCCCTGTGCCGTGTGTGTGTGTGTGGGGGGGGGGGGGCTGCTGGCAGTGTGAGAAGGGTCCAGGTGGTGATGTTTGCCCTTTTTTCCACTCCAAGAGCCTCTGGTGGAGTCATCCAGGTACAGACAGGCATTCTAGTCCTGGAGAGGCTGCAGGCACAAGGCATCCTGGCCTCTCCTCTGCGCACCAGCAAGCTCCCCGTTTTTTCTCCCCATGGCACCAGCCTTGCGACAGAAGGCCCTGTGGAGCTTTCCGAGGCAGCTGGAACAGGTGTGGGGCTCTGAGTGTGGATTTTGCCTCCGAAGCCATAGCTCAGGCCGAGGAGGTGAAAATCCCCAGTATCTCATGGTCTCTCTGGCAATATCCAGAAGAGTACCCTTTATAGAGCACCAAAACAAAAATTTTGCACATAAAACCTGGCAAGAGCCACATTTGTACACTACTTTAATGCTATTATTTCTGGTAAATTAATAATTTTGTATGCTGAATCCAGGGGCCATGTGCACTGGATTGCTAGTGCAGTTCAGACCGCAAAATACACCCAGAGAGAACTGCCATCACAAGGATGGGATGCTGCCATTCATCAAGAAATGCAATGCTTTGTAATTTGTTGAGAGCATCTTAATGACGATTTTTGGAAGCATGCCACAATATTGCAAATGCATACATGGCCTCAAATTATTCTGAACCAAGTAAAATGTTGCTACGGTCACCAGGATGTAAAAAGTGCCATCGCTGTAACTTTTCTGTGCACTTATTTCCAAGGAACAGAGCAGCATCATGCCCACTGGTTGCTCCCCCACTGGTACATGGGATCATATACCCAGAGTGTAAAACACGCACTCTTCAGTGTACAATGTCTGTTCCACACAGGAATCAGAACTACTAGATAGCTCCACAGATGTATGTAAATAGTGGCCTTTGCTCAAACAACCTCCTGTGTGTGTGTGGAGGCGAGGGAGCTATTTTCCAGTCAAAGTTGTTGATATTAATCACATGAAATGTGTACAAACCTACTATATGCTTGGCATTGTTGCTGCATATGTGATTGTTGTTGCATAAACATGAACACCACATAGCAATTTCTGTGACTGGCTGGCCAAATAAAGGCAATAAAGGAGAGCCAGGGTGGTGTGGTGGTTATGAGCGTGGGACTGGGACTCAGGCAACCTGGGTTCGAGTCCTCGCTCAGCCATGGAGCCAACTGGGTGACTTTGGGCCAATCACAGACTCTCAGCCCAACCTACCTCACAGGGTTGTTGTTGTGGGGATAAGATGGAGGAGGAGAATGATGGAAGCTGCCTTGAGCCCTTTGTAGGAAAAAGGCAGGATATAAATCCAAAAATAAATAAATAAATAAAATTATACTAACATGCATTTTGACATTTTTCTTATGTCAAACACAGCTATCCTCGTGTGTACATGCAACTTGGAGTACACTGAACTGGGCAAGACCCTACACTTTTATGGCACCTGAAGCTGGAAGTTTATCCCCTCCAACTACCAGGTAAAGCAATTCAATTTCATTTTTTTTCCTTTTTACCCACTTCAGCATCTAATAGTATTTCCCACTTGGTTAGGATAGACTGTTTAGTTTCCCTGTGACTGTTCATGGAAGGGGCCAATGTGTTATCCTTCACGGATACGCATCTGAGTAACAGTGAGCTTTTCTATTTTCATATGAGGGATCCGGATTTTTTCTTCTTGCGGTTCTCAGCAACCCTAGAGGCAGATCCACTGCCAAGCCTGATCTGCACATGACCGTTGCACAGCAGTCTGAATATTCGCAGTTCACTGCTCCTCCGCTTCCTCCTAGGACTGTGAACATGCAGTCACTGTGCTTTCAACAAGTCGGGTTTTTCCCTCCCCCACCCCCTTTTACTTGTCTGACAAAGTGGTCTTGAAAGTGTGTACATTTTTGTGATAATTTGAATGACCTTATAAATGTTTACAGCTATATGGATCTGGACATTTTTCTTACAGTCAACACAGCAACCTTCATGGGCTTTTTAAAGCAATACCTAAAAAAACTAGTGTTGTGTTACCCATCTTGAGTTCAGGTGGCAAGCTATTGTATAGATAGCTGATATGGATTCCTGGAGAGGAGTCAATTAATAGATGCTATGACAGCCCTCTTCAAATATTTAAATAGCTGTGACAAATTTGTGTTCCAGAACTGAAAGGTTCAAATGATAAGAAAGGGATGAATGAAGGTCACATCTTCAGGTAGCAGTGGATTCCACCAACAGCAATGGGTTGGCCTAAATGACCTTTTAAGTTCCTTCCCGCTCTGTACATAGGATCAAGTCGCATTGCACCCTATGGAATATACAGCCGAGTATATGGGCTCTTGCACTGGGTTAGGGCAAATGACACCAAAAATGGATTTAGCTTCCCCCAAACTTTTAGAAAAAAATATTTGCCAACTTTTAGTAAGAAATACCCGATCTCCCTAAAGCCCAACTTGATCCGTATTTTTAGAGCAGTTTTAATGGGGGTTTAAAAATTAAAGTGCACTGGATAGATGTGAATCTAGGCGGCAGAGTCAGAGGGCAAACAAGAGACATACGGGAAGGCCAAATCTGAGGTGAGGGGCTCCACAGACGACGCCACGGCCGGGGGTTGCAGGGCCGGGCCGGGCCCTTCGGGGGGGCTCTCTTCACGGGGCGCCTCTCGGAAAAGACGCCCTGGCGGTCCGACACAGGCGGCGCCGCTATTACAGGAATTACGGCACCATGGCGTTTCTGTCCCGCCTCGCCCCGCCTGGGGCGCACACGGCCCGGGGCGCCTTACAACACTCGCCCTGCCGGGTAGGCTGGCCCAGCCCGGCCCCCCGCACAGCCGCTCAGCACTGCCACGGCACGGCACGGGGGGCACGGAGGCGCTCAGGCGGCCCGCAACGTGATGGACGTGCCGCGTCGCCTGGCGGAAGTGCGTCGCGGGCGGCCCGCCCCTTCCGTCGCGTGGGCGGGGCGAGGGGCGTGGCTGGCCAGGCCGGGCCCGGCGCTGTGCTGCGCAGTGGAGGCTCGCCCGCCCGCCCGCTCGCCGGCCGTGTGATGGGGGCGGCGCGCCGGCGGGGGAGACGAAGCCCCTGGGGCCACACGTAGGGCGGCCCGCCCGGCGAGGCGAGGCGAGGTGAGGAAAGGACGGCGCTCGGCCTGAGCGCGCTGGGGTCCGCCTGCCTCCTGCGGGGCGGGTCGCGCATCGCCCGCGGGCTCCGAGGAGCCTCCCGGCTCAGGCGCAGTCTGCCTCGCGTGGGGCCTCCTGGCACGCCGCAGGGCGTCCCGCCGGCCGCTCGCCGCGCCTCCCCGGGCAGCGCCCCGCCCGCCGGGAGGAGGGAGCCTCCCTGGCCGCAGCAGTCTACCGCCGAGGAGCGGCCGCTCGCCGCCCGTGCGCTGCAGGGGAAGGCGGCCGGCCGCGCGCATGGGCTGGCCGGCCCGGGAGGGGCGCGCCTGGTGCCCTTGCCGCTGGGGCGCGCTCCGGCGTGCGTCCCCCGCTGGCTTGCTCTGCAGCCGCCTCTCCTGCAGCGGCCTCGGAGCGGGAGGCTCGGGGCAGCGTCGCTTGGCGTGAAATGCGTCGGGCGCTGCGTTGCGTTTCTGCCTGCGGGAAGCTGCTTCGGGGTGCTCGGAATTCAAGCCGTGCAGGGCAGGAAGGGGGGCAGAGGATCTCCTCCTCCACCACGGCGCCCGGTGAAAGTCTCCCCTGTGCCCCACCTACTGTTGGGCATGGGAAGGCAAATGTGGATGCCACGAGTCCGTACGGCTGTACAGAGCCCTTTCAAAACCCCTACTAAAATCATTTTCTGCAGTGTTCCCGGGCTGTTGTCTAAGGAGGATGTGCCCGGGTTTGATTTTTTGTTTGTGTTGAAAGAGCTGCCAGGCCCGAAGCTGAGAAGGCAAGTTTTCCATCTGCTCTGGAGGGAAGCCTTCTTGTGTGTTCTGACAGCTATCAAATATAGTGGGGTGTGAACCGAAGTAACTGCTTGGGAATCTGCCAGTTAACTTGTTGATATAAATAGGCATGTAAAATGTCTGGAGTGTAGACATTTTTTGGGGGAAAAGATCTATAAATATCTCTGCCCTGACTGATCATGCTTTACTCCCTAAAGACTGTGGGGTATATAACACGTACCTTCTCTGTTTGGTGTATTTATAACATTTAGATGTATAACTACCTTGGTTTTATTGAATTAGTATTTATGAATGTATCCAGAGATGGAGCTGCAAGCTGCTGTGTTCCCTGAGAGCTTAAGGAGTCGGATTGCTGCCTTGATAGACTCTAATCAGCATCTTCTGTCCTCTGCCTTCAGTTCCTCCCTATCTTTCCATTTCGAGTTAGATGAGCTTCTCAGCTCGTTAGCTGGCCTGTGTGCTTGGTGGCAGAGAAACCTTAAGATCCCAGCCGCTCCTGTCCCTTCGCACCACCCCACCCCTTTCTCCTGTTCCCTGAGTTGTTTTGAGGCTGCTGTTGTGACTCCGGAAGAGCAGCGGCTGAGATGCTTTGAGGGATGGTCAGGGGAAACCAGTCCGGTCTCAGATTTCCTCCTGCAGTGACTTATCCTCGGAAAGCCGAAAATCTACCATAGCCTTCAGTCTCTGAGACATGTTTTGAAAGTGTTTCTTGATTTTACTCAGTTGGGAAAACTTTACAAACATAAACAGAAAGTTGAAGTTCGAGGATATTCGGTTACACTTTGTAATGGAAGAGTGTTATTTACAGACTGCAGCCCTATGTACTGGACTTGAGCATCCAGCAGTTTCCAGTCAAGCACCCTTCCAGGTTTCACAGGACTCTGTGAAAATGCTTTTAACGTGTCTGTTCTTGGGCTAAGAACTAACAAGCAGCACTGAATACTGGACCAGTCCAGCAATATATTATATCAGCATCCATTCAGGAGCACACTAAAGCCTGGGGAGCTGTGCTGTGCACTAGTTTATGGAGGCACAATCACACGATCCTTCAGTTCGCTAGCAGATCTTCAAGTGCATTCAGATTTGGTTTTGATCCACCTTGGAGGAGGCCTGCCATACTTGGGATAACTCCCTGCTACTCAGCCTGTTTTATTATGACTCTGAAGCACTTCCGTAGTCTCCACTTTTCAAAGTCCCACATAGAAAAGGAACCTTCTACATACCTCTCATGAGTGTCTGCTGCATGTAACTCATACAAATGTTTTAAGTAAATAAATAGAAATTCATGGCCTAATGCTTTGTTTTTACTGGAGTGTTATAATATCAGATTTCGGACTTTCCCCAGATCCTGGCTGTTCAGGATGTTATGGTATGTTTGATGCCATTATAGTTGGCAGTCTTGCTCTCAGATGTGCCAGGACAATTGAGAGAGTCAGTCTGCAGCACTGTAATCCTAAGAAGGGGTCTTCTTTCTTCCAAATCAAGACAGTCTTTGCAACAGTTTGCAGTTACGTCTCCATCTGTGCAAAAAGCAGCCTCCATTTAAGAAGCTGTGGATCAGATACCTTTTTGGAACTAAAACTAAAAATGCACAAAACAGTAAACTTTTGTATCTGTCCTGCAATTTTATTTATATTTGGTGAGATGGTGTATCTTGTTTCTTTCATCCTTTATGTCAAGGATACATGTGCAAAAATAATTGTGGGCAGAGAAGCCGAAAGAATTGCTTGAAATGACAGGCTGGGAAAATGACTCACTGGGAAGTTTCCCATGATAGACACTCCAGCCTCCTTTTCTAAGTAGCGAGTCTAAATGAAAGCATCATGAGGGCAGTACATACATTTTATGGAGATTTGGTACTGCATTTATGAGAGCAGCTTATCCAGCAAAGGAGTCTTACTGTAATTTAAGCAGTAGGCAAAGTACTTGATGTCAGTTTTTAAAAACCTCCATTTTCTGTAGAACAGTCAGAAAACTTGTTTATTGTTCCCTTAACAACTTATAATCTGCCTTGAGTGTGTGTTCATGCACAGAAATGGGGTTTAGGTTAAAAACCAATCCTTGGTGCAGAGCTGCTGGCAAAAAAGTGATCCGGAAAGTTGAGAAAGCATTATTCCTTCATTTATTTGACCCTCCCGTTTCATTATCATTTGGAACTCACTGTGGACTTGCTCCTAAGTGTGAGACTGTTACTGCTGACCTTTGATGTATTGGTGAATGCTTAATAAGCATTGCTGGCAACTCCCACTGCCTGCCTGTGTTTTAAAGGATGTTACTTTTTCCTGCAGTGCCAGGGAGAGCGTGTGCTTGCTTTCAGCTCTTCTGAAGGCATTTTAGCCGAACATTCTGTGCAGAAGGACAGGTTCTGGGTTAATCAGTTGATTTCTAGATTTGTCCAAAGGTAATCTTCTGGTGAGTTTGCATTCTTTTTCTCTGATCCTTTTGTATGTGTATGTCTACTGAAGAAAGATTAGATTTTCTATCAGACAAGAAAAGGTTGAATCAATATAAGCTTTAATAATTATGTTTGGTAAAGTACTGGTTGAGAATACTGGAGTTCTGTTCTTAGTTTAACTTGTCTTCCCCCAGCACCCCTTCTTTCTGTCAAAAAGTGAGACGCAGCAGGTTTATATTTCACCTTTCCACTGTGAGGTCTACTCTGTTTGTGCTGTCTTGGTTCTAGTGGAAGGGCAAAGAGCAAGCACTCTTGGGAAACACCCTTCTCTTGTCAGGTCAAATCCAGGGGTGGAACACATCACAGTGTTTGGGTCAGGAGGTCAGGGCTGCTCCGACTGCCAAGTTCTAAATGTTTGATGGCAGGATCCCTCTGTGTGTTTGAATCTAGACCTCCCGCGTTGGTCCCTTTTAACTGAAAATGGGCACTGTGCTCACCTGCACCTGGTGCATCCTTTGCTCATATTCTGGCCTGGAGCACCCAGGAAAACATGCCCTTGAGAGAGTGGCAGGAGGCCTGAAGTGTATTGGAAGGTCCTTGTGCTTGGGGTGTTGGCATCTCCTCCAGCTCTTGGCAGTGCAGTGCTGTTGGGAAACAGCACACAGAGAGTCATTTTGACCCACTGTTAACCTGTTTACAATGGCCCTTCCAGTAGAATTCTGTCCCTTCCCCATTGTGGGGAAGCTCAGTGAAGTCTGTGTCTGTCTGTCTGTCTCTGTCTGTCTCTGTCTCTGTCTGTCTGTGTCTCTCTCTCTCTCTCTCTCTCTCTCTCTCTCTCTCTCTCTCTCAATTTTCTGGCCTTCGGTGGTCAGCTTTCTTAGCGAGGTTGAGCACCACAGTGAGCTGGATCGAACTATGGAAGGCTGAGCAGCAGCTGTTGCATTATGGAGAGAAGGAATTAGGAACTTGGGAAGGTGCCTTCTGCTAAGGCAGACTACGGGCTCAGTGGGCCTGGCAGCACCTACTCTGGCTGCACCTGCAGATGCCAGGAATTGAACCCAGCACCTTCCATGTGAAAACCACATGCTTCATACTATGCTCTGGTCCCTCCGGAGACAATCAGGCAGGCATCTGGTGAAAAAGTTTCTTATGCGGTGTGCCTACAGTGTTAGGTTGTGTGACGTGGTCAGGTCTTTGGAATCAAGACCATGGCTCAGATTCATTTGTTTTATCAAGTAATTTTCTAGATTCTTCCTAAAGAATAGAATCTAACTTCTATGTTGTGGACCTTTCTGCTTCTTCATGGAAAAATAAAATGTACTTGATTCTGTCCTTTCAGAATAAGAAAATACTTAAGATCTTGCAGTGAAACCTTTGTAAGGCACTTGCCCCTTAAATTCTGGTGGGCAAAAATAACAATAAAAATGAGCTCCCAGCTTTCCTGAGCCTTCACTGTACTAGATAGGGGCTTCTGGGAGTCGAAGGCCAAACTTCCGGAGAGCTGCATCCCACCCCCAAGTGGCCAGGATCCAAAGATCAATTTGCACATACTGAAGGATTTGTTTCAGATCCCACAGAAATGTAGGGTGATGGAGCTGTGTGTGTCAAGCAGCTGCTCACCTGTTTGTGTTGGGGGGGGGGGGGGAGATGTTGACTCCAGGACTCCTTCCCGTCCCTCTGTGCTTAGGCAAATTTAAGTTTCTGCCAAGCATGAAGAGGCCTCCTTTTTTCTGGGGAGTCTTGTGCAAGGATCCACGTGAGCCCCTGAGCATCGCGCACGGTAACACTACTTTCGCTTGCTCCCGCTGCTCGAGTGAAGCATGGTAGTGTGCACAGAGGGTGTTACTCACACTGCAAACACTTCCATATTGTTTTGCTACCAAGGCAAAGGGTTCTTATGCTTCCCCTTTGGAGACAGTCCACTCCCTCTGCATTATCCGAGGAACGCACTGATGCTAGCTCGCCAGCCTGTGGCGAGGCGCTTGATTTCCTTTCCTTTTAGGGCTGCTCCACTGATGGCCAGGAGCGGCATGCAAGACCTGCGTTCTTTTTTATTATTATTATTTTTATTATTATAACATTTCTGTGATCAGCGTGATACCTTGCCATGCAACTCAACCCTCCCAGTCATATTGGCTCTGAAGAGCGCTGAGGGCTGTTCACACTTGCTTGTGACGTAGCTAGCCCTTCCCTAGTGAGCAGGACTGGCTATCACTCGGGCAGAGGGAAAGCTTCCTGTTTGACTCTGGTGTTAGTCACTTTACCTGTCCAGGGTGGGGTATATCAGTATACTGAGAGCTGGCACATTTGTTAAGTGGTGTTACCTGTGTGCTACTTAGGACGTGAGGACATTGCTGGTTATTCTGCTGCCTTAAAAGATGATCTGTCATGCTCCTTGCTAAGGTTAAGCAGCATGTTACGTATCTCTTTTCCATAGCTATAAAATACAGTTGAAATGAGTGTTAACTATTGGAACTGTCTAGCTTGGGGAGCCATATTTAAACTGGAGAAGAACCAGAAATTTAATTCATTGCCGTCCTTGTCAAGGGAAAGCTGTTTCCAGGCATTCTATGTTAATCAGTAGATATAGCAGGCTTTAAAATTTATCCTGAGCTGAAGGTACATGATCTCTCCATTAACTAATGAGCATTTAATTCATTCAGATGCCTTGTTTCTATTCTAATTCTTGTCTTAATGAATTTTGTGCACCACCTTGTGATTTGTTAATGAAGAGTGGCATGTAAATATTGATGAGGTATAGTGGTTAAGAGCATGGGACTGGGACTCAGACGATCTGGGTTCTAGTCCCCACTCAGCCATGGAGCCAACTGGGTGACTTTGGGCCAGTCACAGACTCTCAGCCCAACCTACCTCACAGGGTTGTTGTTGTGGGGATAAGATGGAGGAGTAGATGTAAGCTGCCTTGAGCCCTTTGTAGGAAAAAGGCAGGATATAAATCAATCAATCAATCAATCATTGTCTTCAGCATTTTGTGCTGGTGCATTTGTTAAAGCTGTTTTTTGTTTCTGGATTTTGGATATGGTAGTAATTCTGGGAAGGGAAATTGAGCGATGTAAACAGCCAGAGTTGCTACTGCACTTCATTGAGATACAGCATGTGAGTCTTAAAGTACATGTTGAAATAGTTTCCTAGAAGAATGGTAACTTGATGCTCACTGGACATTACTGTATTCTCAGTCTTTTAAACCATCTGATTTTTAGCAGGTAGAGAAAATGGAAGGCAACAACCAGCTTTGCATTCAGCGTTGGACTACAAGGCATGTGGCCAAGTGGCTGAAGGAAGAAGGCTTTTGCGAATATGTGGACATTTTGTGCGATAAACACAGACTGGATGGGATTACACTACTGACCCTGACAGAGTATGACTTGAGATCTCCGCCTCTGGAAATCAAGGTCCTGGGGGATATCAAAAGGCTCATGCTGTCGATACGCAAGCTGCAGAAGCACCATCTGGACGCTTTGGAAGAGCTCGGGTATGGCAGCGACAGTCCCATTGGTCCCCTGTCTCCGGTGATCGGCTCTCTCCAAGGAACAGACTGGTTTTGCAACGGCGAAGTGCAGCGGGATTGTGACGACTGTGAGCCTGTGGCTGACTTGAATGCTGAACAGTATCAGTATGCAAACGGGAAAAACAAACATTCTGTACGGAGACTGAACCCGGAGTACTGGAAGACCGCGTTGAGCTGCATCTATGTTTTCATTGTGTTTGGCTTCACGTCATTTGTCATGGTCATCGTGCACGAGAGAGTCCCCGACATGCAGACCTATCCACCACTTCCAGACATTTTCTTAGACAGGTAAGTAAGTGCACCTTTGGCCTACAATGGAAACAAGTGTTACCTCAGAATTATTCTGTTGATCCAGAACTGCAGCGAAGTTGGTGCCACTTCCTCTACTGTTTAGAAGATGGGACTTCTGCACTCCTCTCTGGGGGAATTTTCTGCAGCTCTTTGTAGAAGGCCTGTCCCGGTGCAGCTTGTTTGTGTCACACCATCTGCAGTGCTGCTCCTTTCCCAGAATCCAGAGGTGCACAACAGATTGGAAACCATTTCTTCTAACCTGTTACCATGAGCTGTGATGCACTAAGAACTGCAGAAGGAGAACGGGCTCTAAGAAAACAAGTTGAAAATAGCTAAAACTGTAACCAAGATGCTGTTCAAGAGTTAAGATAGCAATGCCACTTTTTTTAGTTTAATAGAAATGTAAAAATGAGCCTTGGAATGGTTTTGCATGCAACTCCTATCATCCCGCTTTGACGCCTGGCCCTAACCCCAAGGACTGGTTTCAAGCCTTAACTTCCTGTAAGCATGGAAGTTATTGGAAGTGGAAGCAATGCAGATTAGAGGTTTTGTTGGGGCCCAGACAGGTCCTGACAACCTTCTCAAAATTTGGATCCCATTTTAGAAGTTCTTGACTCACAGGTGTGTTTATGAATGGAAAGGCCATTTTGTTGCTGACTTTATCGAGCCTTTTTTTGCTCTATAAGTCTATTTGTCTAGGAAAACACCACATCTGACCCAATTCAGGTTGGGTGAGTTGGCAAAATCTCCATCTATATCAGCCATGTTCCAACACTTCCATTGTCTCTGTGGAACGCTTCCAAAATTCAATTTACAACATGAATTATTGTGTAGTTTCCTTGATGAGATTGCATGAAGAATATAGATACCTTCGTGCAGTAACTAGATCAGGGTGTTCTGTCAAGATACTGTACCTGCGCTCCCATTTTTCAGCCATGACCGGCTCCTAAAGCGATGTATGATTAAAACCTGCCACCAGGTGCAGTGCTGCCCATTCCTGATGCATGTAAGCCTCCTGAAGGGGCTTGCTTATGAGAACCCAGCGTGGGGTGTGAGGCATAGTGGGGGTGATTTCCCCTGTCACGTTCCTCATGCCGTGGATTTCCTCTAGCTGCAGAGCAGAAGCCTCAAAGGCCGGGGCTCCTGCCCTCTCGCATGTGCCCTGAGCCTTCTCCAAGGCTGATTTCTGACCTCGGAGATGCAACTGGAATGGTTCTTTCTACCCAGTGGTGGGGAGTGTAGGGCATTTGCTGTCCCCAGTGCTGCAATCAGAGGCCCTTGGGGCTGGGCCTCCGAATAATCCTACCGCCCCACACATAATGTTCGGAGTCCATAACATGTAATAAGAATCTGCATGGGCGTTTCTTGCCGTCCCTTCTAGTTCTTAGCAACGGGTGTCACAATCCAGGTTCCAGGCTTTTTAATGTACTTCTGTATTATGCAATTGTTTCAATGTTGTGTTATAACGTACAGTCACAGAATATCTTCGACACCTGTCCAGTTAATTGCAGCTACCAATTAACTGAATTTTGCTACCAGCCACAATGGCGTCTTGTTAATGAAGTAGGCTTGACAGTGCATCTTACTACTTAGTGCTTTGTCATGACAGGAGTCTAAGAGGACATGTCTCTTAATTTGGTAAACATTATTTTAGTACAGAGGAATGAAACTTGACTTCATTCTGAGCAATTTATATGGACACACAGGATGGTATCCCCTGTTTTGCTTCTTTGTATCATCTCTGCCCCTAAGACTCTGGGTGAGCTACAGCATTTAACCATTTTTAAAAACGGAATCTTCCAAAGCGATTCTATAGATGTCACCTGTACCTTTTGCTGAACAGCAGTGGGCCTTTCTTAGGAATGGCCTTGCTGGAGGGGAAGGGTGCTGCCTCGCAGGGGCGGCTGGTGCACCAAGCTATTGACTCGGGCATGATTTGCTCTCTGTGGCCACAGAGCCGTCTTTGTTGCCATCCCACATGTCCACATAATTGGATTCAGAATCAAGACCTTATTTATATCAGTTCATGGTTAACAAGGAGCTACCATGTGGCTGCTGGGTGCTGGATATTCCAGGGTATCGCTGCTGCCATCAAGGCTTGGACCAGACACTGTTAAAAGACGGAACAAGGCCGGAAGATGACAACAGCTGTCTCTGCGACTGCCCCCTGTGCGACTGCACTTTTGGCAACGCAAAAGCATGTGATTTCATGTGACTTCAGAGCAGGTCGTGCTGAAGCCCCAGCCATTCCCAGCCACTGCATATTTGCAGTCGTAACAGCGCCTGCATTCTACTTCCAGGAAGCATGAGTTGCTGACAGTGATTGCACAACATTTTGCAAACGAGGCCAAAAGGTTAATGCACAGATTTCACAGGCCGACAGAAAACCCTGCCATTTGCTGATGGGGGGTGGGGTAACAAGAGGGCAACGAATGAGCAGTTGGCGTGGGCCACTATCACAGGTTCAGCCATCAGTAGTTCAGAGTCTCAGCTCTTAAATTTACTGTTTGGCTCACTCTTTGTTGAAATGTTTGTTCTTGTGGGTAGATAATATTTCTAGTACTATATGTCAGCTGTTCCATCGTTGGAAACATGCCTGATTCTGATTTAGAGAGAAGTTGTTCCAGTTTATCTACCCAGTATTGTTTCAGTATCCCGTAGCTAGTCATTTGTATCTTGCTTACTTGCCTACAGAAGCAAGTTCCACGATTTCTTTTTCGAACGCTACCTGCCTTCTGTAAATTATCCAAACAGAGTTGGGCAAACATGCCTGAAGAAACTGGATATCACCTTCCATTTGACAGTCCATGCATATTTCAGACCGAATCTTGATGTGTACTGCTATTCTCAATTTATGATGGGCCATGAAGTATCAGATTCATGGCCCATGGCCCATCATAAATTCAGTCCTGCCACTGGAAGACCAAATGCTGTCTGCAGCCTTCATCCAACTGAAATTGGATGTCAGCTGCGGCCTCTGCTCGGCAAAGACTACCTGGCCGGAGTTCTCACTCCTCTGATTGCCTCCCCGACAGATTACCATACTCGGTTGTATATGCCTTGGAAAACTACAGTTGGGGGGACAACTGGAGCTGTTTTTGGGAACGTATCGCCTTAAAACAGTCCTTAAAACAGTTTCATGGGCTCCCAGTCTGTTTCTAAGCACAATTCACAGTTGGTGCTTACCTTTAAAATAGCAGAAGAAGGGGGAGATCTGGATATTGGAAGGATGGCTTGTTTCCACTTATTTATTTAATTTATTTAAAGTTCTTTTATATGCCATCCAATACCACAGATTCTGGATGACTTACAAAAAGCAAAACAAGAACAACATACCGACAAACAACACACTGCATCCAACCATTAATGATAAAATCAAAGATAAAACCAATTATATATTAAAATGCTGGGAAAATAAAAAGGTCTTCGCCTGATGCCAAAAAGAATAAAGCAGTGGCACCAGGCGAACCTCCCCGGGGAGCGTGTTCCAAAGTTGGGGTGCCACCACTGAAAAGGCCCTTCTCCGAGTAGCTACCCTCCTGATTTCCTTTGAAGAGGGCTCCTGGAGAAGGACCTCTGCCTCCGATCTGAAGGGGCGGGCCGGCACGTAGGGAAGTAGCCCTGCCCATACACTGAAGTCCTCTTTGGAGGTTCTTGTCTGGGTGCCCCCCTCCCCCCCCCATTGGAAGTAAGGAGGTGACATCTGGGGACAGACCCACCCGATCCGGTTGTGGCATTCTGTTTTGGGAATGCCGTTCCCAGCGAGGGTCATTCGCTGCTTGCATCCTTTCAGAGACAGCAAAGGCCGCCATGTTTTCTCAGCCTTGAAAACTTGGTAATACAGTTCTGTGCTCAAGGTGAGCTGTTGCTTTTATGCTTCTGGTTGTGTTGATTTTAGGTTTTATTATTCCAAATTAGTTCTTACTGTGCACTAGTTCATTGTTAGCCATTTTGAAGATATTGAAAGAAGGATTATACCTTTGGAAATAAATAATAGGAGGAATAGCTGGGAGAATGAGCTGGCAAGGGTGGGGCTTTGAATTGCTGCTAAACAAGTGGGGATTAAATAGACTGATATAACTGTGGACAGAATGTGAAGGACAAGAAGGGAACTGCCCAGCTGGCATGTCACAACCAACATGAGTGTTTTTCTCAAGCAAAGCGAGTTGGTGTTTCTGCTGTCTCGCCTTGAGACAGAAGTTCCTGGTTCACAGGTCACGGCAAGCACTGAGGGACAGAATTGTTCCTGGGTTGTGTAGTCTCTTTTGTAGCCCGCATCAGCACACTGCTTCATCCGCAACAATGCAAGGTCTTGTAAAACCCTGAATCGTTGTGATTGGCAAATCGGACCATTGTCTATAAAACAAGCAGTGAAAGAGTGGATCATGATAGGAATAGGAGGAAAGCGGAATCAGCATAGAGAAAAATGTCATAAGAGAGCATTGGAGATCCAAAAAGATGGTTTATTTGATTGGGTCCCTTTGACCCAATAAATGGTGGTGAGTTACCAACAGAAATAAAATTGTAGAAGGCCTGGTCTTGAAGGGCAGACAGCATGCATTTGTGATACATAGACATATGTGAAGGCTTGATCTTTGCAATTTGTCATAAAATAAGAGCAATGAATTGAAAACTATTTGACATTTATGGCTTCTTTCCCAGTGCTTTTAAGAGATTTACTGTGCTTCAGAAACGAAAGTAGAAATTGAAAGTGTGAGATGTTTTTTGCAAACCTGGCTCTTGTTAGGCATATTTAATGTGGATTCCTTATGTGAAGGTGATGGCTGGAGAATTAAATCTGGAGGAATGTTACTCAACTATGGTTTGGAGCAGACTTGCCCTGTTCGTCTCTGTGGCGGTGGAGCTTGTTTTTGTTTTGCTTTTTTTTTTAGCAGAAGGGGCCTGTGAATGAGCGGGATGCAGCCCCTTTCCCAACAGCCGGTTTCTCAATGCAGCCGCCTCCCGAGGAGCCAAAGGTCTGTACAAGCACTGCAGGGAGGCACGCTGGAGGTCCTCTTTAAGAGGCGCAGTGCCCCTTTTCTTGCAGTAGAATTGGAGGCTGAATGGTGCCTTAAACGGACCGCCTGCTGTGACGCCTCATTTGGCCCTTAATTTTGGTGCTGTTGTTGCATCCTGTGAGATGTCTCAGCTTGAATGCCAGAGAGCCCTGTGGTTTGGACAGGCACCAAATGCAGAGGGAATATTGCAGGTAGAGCACTCAGATTGGATAGCTGCATTTCTCATGCTACGTCTGTTATAAGCATCAGAAGGGACTATAGATCTTTGTTATATTTAGATTAGCATCTGTTTCTGAAAGGCCAATTGCATCCAGTTTTGAACTTTCTCTTTTGATCTGCATGGACTTCAAAGGATTACAGGGTTTTGTTTTGTTTACTGCAACTTTCACATTGTTATTATCATTACTATTACATTACATTTTTATACTGCCCTGTAGCTGAAGCTCTCTGGGCAGTTCACAAGTTACCCATCCAGATTTCAACCATGCCTGACTCTGCTTAGCTTCCAGGGTTAGGCAGGATCAGGCACTTCAGGCTATACAGAAGCTAAGTTAGTGGGATTTTTTTAAAAAATGGTTTTGGATTTTCAGATATAGAAATACATTTTTTAAGTGCTGCAGAAGATGGAGTAATCCAAAGAAGGGCAGAGACTTTGAAAGTTCTACAAGTATACAGGAATTAGATTCTAATAACATAGTTATTGGAAAGCATTTTGGGGGAAGAAAGAGCAGGTGAAAGCATAGGTTGCAGTACTGTCTCAACAGCATTCCCCTCATACTGCCAGAAGAGAAAATGTACCAGCAGGCATTTTGCATTCTAGCGAGCCATGCTGCCCAGCCGTGGAAGGCACAGCACAAACACCCGGTGGATGATTAGGCAAATGGCAGCCGGCACGCACAGGCGGCTTTTAATCCTGTGGTAATAGTGCAGACCGGCCCATTGTGTCTGCAGGAGATTAGACAGTCTAATTGTACGGCTTCTGGTTGGTGTGAAGCTTGGGCTGTGCCGGAAGAATGGCGAGGAGGTTATTAAGGTGCAACATCTCGTGCAAAGAACTCTCCCAGCGTCTAAAAACTGGATTGGTTTCTTGAAGCCATGCCAAAGCCTTCAGCTTGTGAGGATCCTTGCCTTGAAGCTGCCGTCCCCAGTGGCTCTGTAGAGAAGGACTGCTTTTGCTGTGAGAATGAAATGGTTTGCCTTACTGAAGGTGCTCCCCCCGCCCCCCGGTGTTCTGGAGCTTGGGAGAGGAATTAATGCATTGCTCACCCAAGCAACCTGGAGTCCCAGGGACTGTCCTATTCACAGGACCAAAACAGCATGGTGGGGGGTGTAATCTTTCTCTCATTGGTTTAAATTCTGCACCCATGTCTTGCCACTGTATTCAATACGGCGTGTATCATCTTTCACACAGGTGGTTCAGTTTTTATTCCTAAGTCATCTCAGAACTAAAGTGAGGTGCCTTGGCTGGGCCAAGTCCCAAAACAAGTTGGATTAATTTTTCCAGTTCTGGGTCAAGTAAAGCTCAAATTCAAAAGAGAAAATTGTAGCACTTTCTGTTTGAAACCAATCTTGCTGACATTACTAGCTCTGTGCTATGCAGTTAGGTGCTCCCGTGAAAGCTTTAGTTATAAACCAAGTGATTCAGGTTTGGAAAATGCTAGTTATATCCATTTACTTTGTCTTGTATTGCAGAAGTCAAGGACCATGGCTTTTACATGACTCAGATCTTGCTATTTTCTGTTTTAAGTGTTCCTAGGATACCATGGGCTTTTGCCATGACTGAAGTATGCGGAGTGATTCTCTGTTACATCTGGTTGCTTGTTCTCCTCCTTCACAGACACAGGTATAGTTCTTCAGTTACTTCCTTGGAAACAGTAGGCCCCCCTGTTTGCAGACTTTGCGTGCATCTATTTACCAGTATTCCAGAAAAACTTTGAAGAGAGCTTGACTCAAAGTGGAAAACTGTTTGTCCAGCTCAGAACAAAGGAGCGGATCCTAATATGGGTTGATGACCAACATTTTTGAAAAGAAGGCATCTTGTGGGCTGGGCTGGGATGAGCTGGGAGCCTCCTGTGCAGTGTGGTGGAGGGGGGAAACTTGCATTCCAGAAACTTCCTGCATAACTCTTGTTGCTTGTTGTTCCTAGATCAATCCTTTTACGACGCTTATGCAGTCTTATGGGTACTGTGTTCTTGTTGCGTTGTGTTACCATGTTTGTGACCTCACTGTCTGTGCCAGGCCAACATTTGCAATGTTCTGGAAAGGTAAGCTGAGATTGCCACCTCATCTCTCCTTTCTTCCCACCTTGCTCATTGTACTTCTGCAACAGGGAGCAGGGACTTTCGACAAGCCGCTTAGGGTCATAGGAAGTGTTCATTAACCTGGTGAAATTATTTGTCTGTCTAGCTCAATAATCAGTCAGGGTGCAGGTTTCTAGGTCTTGGGCAAAGTTTTGTATCGTTGTCTTTTAACCTGTCCCTTTAGTATTGTGCAAGCTGAAGACTGATTAACACATCAAAAGCAGTGAAAATACGTGGTTCTTGCCTACATACATCGAATGCATATGTATTTTATGCACACTCATGGGTGGCTGGATGGATATACACACTGTGTTTATAAGCTATCATGTCCTAAATCCAGTAGCAAAATATGGAATCCTACTATGAGGGTGGGTATGTTGAGGAAGCCAGTGCATGGAGCGTTCCCTGCTGGAAGCAGAGAAAACCCGGTAGAACTGATGACTGACATGTGTTTTAAGTATTAAATCCAAACAGATCAAAACAAAAATCAAACAACACCAAAATATAGCTTGTGTTTTACCAAAATAAAGCACAAAGTATATTTTGATTGTGTGTGGAACATAGGGGCAAAGCCAGTAATTTTCTGAAGTATGTAAGTCTCCTCAGGCATTCAAAATGTTTTTAACACTTTGCTCACTCTGATTTTAGCTATATGGCAACGTGTGGGCAAAACTCCAGCGCGCCTTTGCCATTTGGAGTGGGTTTGGCATGACGCTCACAGGAGTACATACCTGCGGAGACTACATGTTCAGCGGCCACACAGTCGTCCTGACTATGCTAAACTTCTTCGTCACTGAATGTGAGTACAGCATTGAAATGATGCACAGTTACCATCACTACACCCGCTCCTCTGTTCACATCTTACTGTCCTGTATCGTATTCCACTTAGCTGACTAAAGGTTTCAGTGAGGGGAAAAAAACCAAGTGTCAGTAGGCAAAAAGAGGAAGCCAGCACAGGTTGACTCTACTCTTGTGGAAAGCAGAGTTAGAGAGGGTGTTGGAAGACAATGTCACAAAGATTTCACACTGTCTCGCATGGGCATCAAGTGCAGCTGTGGGCACTTGTCAGGCTTATTGGCTGTGAGAAAGCTGTGGGGCTGCTTCCATGTGGCACCACAGTACACACTCACACGGTAGAGCATCTTTGTCACAGGCGCTTTTGTTTCTTCCTCAGTATCCTTGGCTCTGAAGTGAGGTGCCTTGGCTGGACCAGGTGCGGGTGGTGGGTTGAAATCGGCCAGGGACTAGGCAATGCTGAATCTTCGAAAACTTAGTATCGATCATGTGCAAGAAGTGTGGGCAAATAGGAGCAAAGGTGCAGTATTTCAGTCTCAGACAAGTCTTCATGATCAGTATTGATGTCAAGTGAAATTAATATTTTATTAGCGCAGGAAGTAGTACAGATATGAAAAGCATGTATTTGGCACGACACCTAGTTCGTGCTGGTGCTCTGGAAAATAACCCAGAAGTAAGACATGGGCCCTGCTTGAAGACACAGAAAGTAAGAATCATGGGTAGTAAAGTCAGAGGAGGGAGAGAGCTTTGAGAAAACTCACCTCCTTAATAAGGGTATCTCTGCCTGGCCCTCTTCTTGCTGAAAAGAAGGGTAGCCTTCTTCAGAGCGGGCTTGATCTGTGGGTGCGAGGGTGTGGAACTTGTACTCCAGCAACGCATGGAAGGCCCTGAGCATTTACTGCATTTGTAAGCTGCTCCGAGGCTTATGCGAAGTGGGCGGCATATAAGTTTGCTAAATAAATAATAAATAAAATAATAAATAATAAATACTGGGATTGATGGGTCTTGGAAGTGGGACAACTTCTGGAGGACCCTTACAACTTCCCCACCCCTAGGGTGATGTGAATTGCTTTCCCTTACCCTCTGCTGCTAGCTGATACTAACCATATACTGCCGCAGAGGGTGAAGGGAAACAAACCCAGCAGTCCTGAGAACACAAAAGCAACCGTGCTGGATCAGGCTGAGGTACATCGAGTCCAGCACCCTCTTCATTTCATGGTTGACAGGCAGGACATGAGTCAACCACACTGTCCCATCTAAGTTCCCAGCAACTGGTGCACAGAACCACTCAGCCCCTGATACTGGAGGTCAGAAACTGCCAGCAAAATTAGTCGCCAGGGATTCCCTTCTCCTCCATAAATGCGTGCAGTCCCCCTTTACAGCTGTCCAGATTGGTGCCCATCACTGCACGCTGGGTGAAGTACCCGAGTATCTCTCCAGAATCCAATCAACCAGTCAACTTCATGGGATGAGGCCGGGTTCTAGTCAGTCACATGTCCAAAGTATCCCCTCCTTATATTGTTACGATGCATTAGATACTGTGATTGCTTGAATCCACACTGTCCTCTTCCTTAGATACACCAAGAAGCTGGAACTTCTTGCACACTCTGTCCTGGGTACTGAACCTCTTTGGAATCTTCTTCATTTTGGCGGCCCATGAACATTACTCCATTGATGTCTTCATTGCCTTCTACATCACCACAAGACTGTTTTTGTACTACCACACACTGGCTAACACAAGAGCCTATCAACAGAGCCGGAGGGCCAGGATCTGGTTTCCCATGTTCTCCTTTTTTGAATGCAATGTAAATGGCACAGTTCCAAACGAGTATTGCTGGCCCTTCTCCAAACCAACTATAATGAAAAGATTAATTGGCTAAAGAGTCCTGGATTTAATTCACATCTGGGTGAAGTATTTATGACGAACTTTCTCCAAGAAGATCTGGACGAAAATGGTTTCTCTTGTCCACGTGACCACCTTGGGCCTTGCGTGTTCTCTCTCAGCCGCAAGGCTAAGAGATGCACAGTTGCCATTTTCTTAAATATGCAGCAGAGTTGCAAGGAAGTTCTGCATGAAAGTTATAACTTGTTTACTTGGAAGATTTCAAATTGTGCTTTAGTGAGGGAATGACTTTGGATTGGTTAACATCAAATGCCACCTACTTAGCTATTGTGTCTCAAACAAACACTAACACACCAAGTGTTATACTTCTAAAATAACTGTCAAAGGGGAATAGGATGTTTGTGGGGAGGGAAACATTCACCCAATGAAAACAGCCCCAAAAGCTTTAGTATGAGAAATACGTGGTGTGTATGGAAGGGGCAAAGTAATGGGCTCGAAGAGGTGTCAGAACACCTCTAAATAAGGCTTTGTTGGCTTGAAATTCCGAACAGGGCTTTTGTGATTTGGAATAAAGTCCACCATGCTGTTCTGCATGTACAGGATTTCCTTGTTTACGTTTCAGTAAATTGGTAAAGAAATACGTTCTCTCTCTCAAAATGTCGACACGGTTTTAGTGCCACAACTCTTTCCTTACAGTATTAAACACGTACATTTGTGCCTGCTTTTTAAATGCTGGTCCTAGAAAAATAATACGATGACGACGACAACAACAACAACAACAACAACAGTAGTAATAGTGTCCAAAGAGGTAAGGTCCCACTGAACAAAGGCAAGGTGTGGTGTTTTGATTTTGTTAAAGGAAATATTGAAATATTTTTGAATTGCTCTCATTTGTTCTCTCCCCTTCGTTAGACTACTCAAATGCATCTTACTCAGCTCCTTGTAGCATGGAAAGATTTTGAAACTTTGTTGACTGAGAAATTTATTTTCAATAAACACTTATTCTGAGTTTTTTCTAATAAGTAAAAACGATCTTAATCAGCTTAACATTGATGGTGAGTATCACTTTCACTTTCTTCGAAAACTCTTCTCATCATTGCTAAAAGAATAATGAGTAGAGCTGGAGCTTAAAGTATTAGCAGTCTTGCAGTCATAGCACATGGCACTTAGCAATCCTGCAGCCCCTGTATTTTCCAGTGAAGTCTCGCTTTTATAATACTTACCCAAAACTTCTAAACCGTATTTTAATTGGAAATTGTACCTGAAATGCTTGGACATGGCAAAGCTTATTAGCACATTGCTTCAAGTGTGAGTTCAGATTGCACGAGTTCAAAACAGGCAGTGTGTGCCAGGGGCTTCGTTCGAAATTGGCATTCAGGTTTTTCAAGTCCAACACGAGTCTCATTCTCCAGCCACGCCATCTGTGCGGACCAGTTAAATGTATAAATCTGGCGTTCAAAGTTGTGCACAATAGATTCCTCACTCCATTATTAAAGAAACAATGCTGTATGTGACTCTCCTGTAACACACCCGCCTTGCGTGGCAAAAGCCACTCAGGTAATTACAGTGAATGTTCAGGTGGAGACTTCGTGTCACTCCCTTTCCAGGTCCTTTTGCTGGCAAGCGAACCGAGCCAACCCCGCAAAGCACATTCTTCTCTCACACACGGGAATGAGAACTGATTCAGAAGAGGAGTTAAGAGCACCTGCATTCTCACTGGTGTTTTTAGAATGGGAGAGGCAGTGCAGGCATTTCTTTCTGCCTTAAGTGCAGCAAGTGTTGCTGTACACGGACTGCTGATAATTGCAGCAGAAATGCACAGACCGTTACTTTGAACAGTATTCAAGAAATGTTTTCAGAAATACGTTGAACTAGAAATACATGTAGTGAACATGCACATCTACACATTAGGTGTATTTGCAGCTAGAGCATTGTATAGCTTCTAGCTATATTTAATCTTGTCACAATAACACTGTATTTATTTGAAATGACCACTTCAGTATCTCTCTGTGCCACTGCAAAGGGGAAAAAATACCTGTATCAGAGCATGCCTTATTCTGCATCAGTTGCAATATAGAGTGGGGCCAACACCCCGCAACTGAAGACACGTCGTAAATCCATTTATCTGTGGATAAATTAGGTAGAAGGTAGTCTGCCTGTATAGCCAAATGTACCATTTCTTAATCACCCAGACAGAAGTAGCCTCTTAAAGGCTTTTACCATTTGCAGTGGTAGAATTCCTGCAAATGCTTTTCTTGCATTTTGAACAGGATAGTGTTCCTTTCTGGACAATACTTGAGTGGCACACACCCTCACATTTATTAGCGCTTTCCTTCAAAGAGAAAGACTTCTCAAAGCACAGGATGTTGGTGGTTTAAAACAGATTTTAGTAAAATGTCATTGGGAATTCCAGGCAGGGGCAGCTGCTCCCTTAAGTTTACAATTCCTTTTGTAAAGGAAAAGAGCCCATACCTACCAAAAGGCATCAAGAGGTTTACAGTTCCGATTTACATTACATTGCAAGCAGTATTAGATTGTCAGTTCCAGTTGAAACAATGACGCCAATCCAGGAATTGTGTGATAAATATATTGGAAGTGGTGGGAGATGACACAGTGGCTCCATCCCTACATAATGGCAGCGGAGTGCATCTGCCGTTTTGAGTATAGCCCTTGCCATCCGCCGAGCAAAAGTAATTTTGAGGCATGCAAACCTGGATGGCTTGGGCTAATTGTGGATTAACAACCTATAGTTAACCTATAGTTAGTTCTAGGTTAACTGCATCATGTGTTGGAGGCTGCGGATTGGTGGCGGCATGTGCTGGGCCTTCAAACCAACAAAACGGGTTAATTTGTTGCCATTATATGCGACTGGGGCCTTTGTGATCTGTGGATGTTTACCTGGAGGCAAGCACCACTGGGGCCTAATTTCAATATTGTGCAGGTGTCCATTGACCACATTGGTGAGAAGAAGCCTTGGGTTCAATGGAACTTTGGTCACACAGAATTTGCATGATATATTTAGCTCCACTTGGTGGAAGGAGAAGGGGTGCGGAGAAGATTAACCAAAAGAAGCCTGGTTCTTCAGGTGGGAACTCATTATTTAAGCATAATATGTATGAAATCTGTTCTTTTTCTTTCACATAATAGAAACATCCTAACAGTCCTGTGGACTACATTGCACTTTGACTTCTAATTTTAAAAATAGTCATTATATGAATTATTGTACTTCAAATAGTTACTAATATATTCTTTACCTTGTCATTTGAAGTTGAATTGCACATTTGTTCAAGAGAAGATAAAGCTACTTTTCCAAAAGTTTTCTGCTGTGGAGTGTCTCAAAATAGGGCATTCCCGATTGACACTTCTCCTTTTTACTTTAGAAAAGTAAATATATCTTTCCCTATCACTTATTACTCAGTCTTCTTGGTTTGGAATATGTTGGTAGTTGGAATTAAGAAGGTTTAGGAAAGCAGACAGAATTTGGTGCTGAAAATGGGAAGCTGAAGTAACTGGAGTGCTTTGTGTTCTTACACTTGGAAACCTTTGCTGTACACTTTTTCTTTAGTCTGATATAATTTCCTTATTTACTCGTGTGGGGTATTTCTACCAGCTTTTGGTCCTGAACATTGCCCTGCTTGAAACTTAGGAGGTGGTGAAATATGCTAAAGAACCATTCATAACACTATAATTTATAATTTGATAAATATATTTAATGTGGGGGTTATTGCTCTAAAACTCAATGGGAAATGATTAACACACCCATTACTCAGAATCTGTCGTGTGCAACAGGCTGTTTCAATCAAAATAAGAATGCGTGCGAATTACACACACACTGATCCCCCAGCTACTTAAATAACCAAGTAACATTGTTGAACTTGTGAGCCTGTTCATTCCGTAAAGAAAAGTGTGTGCTATAGTTACAAAGCTGTTGAATTGTGTAACATTTCAGTACTGTAAGGACATTGTAATGATAGCGGGATATGTATAATCTTAAAACAGGACGTTTTTGAGTAGGAAACTGGAAGCATTTAGACAACTTGTTTCTGGTCTGCCAAAAGGGGACTTGATCTAGAATAGGTCCCTGAGCCCAGTGATCTGGAGATGTTCCTAGGCCACTTTAGACCTCTGTGGGTATATCCAGGGTGACATGGAGTCAGTGATGCCACTGTACTATAGAGGAGGCCTTTGTGCATGCCCAGAGGTCTAACCTGGCCTGAGGAAGGCCTGCTGAAAGACAGACTGCTTGGTCCCACAGCCCTATTTCCTCCATCTTACATTAAATGAATTATGCACCTGCATTTTACTCAGTGTAACCAGGGTGAGTGAAGAATAGTAGTAGTTCTAAAGCAGTTGACTTGGTGCTTAACACTGACATTTTGCTTTTAATCTCTCCTCTGCCCCTAGAGATTATTGTATTATTTGAAGGTTTGAATGTTCCTATTGTGGAAAAGTTGGAAGCACAGATGTTGTGTAAATAAAGATGGATTTTGTTCAGATTTGAACCCAAGTTTAATTTATATTGTTTTGTATGTGCTGTATTAAACGAATGAAACATTACTTCGAAGATGCATTAAAAAGAAATAAATGACTAATCCTGCGTCATAGGTATTTTTCTCTAAATGGGCATCTAGCGAAGACCTGCCCCATTTCCAAATGCGCCACAGGAAGACAGCTGGAGTTCTGTGGCTTAATTTCTCAGCGGCTTCTGTGAGCTAGAAGTTGCCTGTATCAGTTTTGCTGCTCTGAGCTTTCTTCTTACTTTCTAATCAGCCTTGGTGGGGCTGGAAGATTCCGCTGTCGTCCCGCTTTGGGTGCGACTGAACCCCTTTGGCTGAGAAATTCAGCAGTGCTCCTTGCCCCACCAGTGGTATGTTACTGCTGGCAACCAGATCTTACTGCGTACAACATATATGCAACATACCACGCTGTCCTGAGCTAGGTTTCCGCCCTTTGCACATTCAAAGCACAGGCTTTTCTTGCAAAACATTCTTTATTGACCAAGACCTTTTCTGGAAGCACAAACATCCAGAATGAATCTCTGAGGATGCACAGAGCAGTTCTTTGAACCCAATCTAGTATTTATTTCTAGGAACTCTCCTTATGAGTATGTTGGGTCCCCATCCTTTTGGGAGGGGCCTTTTGGAAGCAAGCATGCCTCTCTGCACTCCATTCTTCTAATTGGACTGCCCTCCTTGCCAACTTTGTGTCATGGGTTTGAGAGCCTTGTCTGAGAAACTCCCCTGCTCACCTGTTCGCATGGTGATTCTCAGGAGCACCTGGGGAATCTGGCCTTGAGCTATATAAGCGCCTCCGCTTTTCTCATCTCAAAGTCTGGAACTGGCCCACATTCCGAGCCCTCCCCTGCCCGCCCTCCTCTGAAATCCCATGGGCAGGCCTTGAGACTGTGCCAGAAGCAACCGTCTTGCTCCCAGTAATTGCACAAGAAATGTTGAGGCTCCCTAAATTTGTGTTTCAAGCTTGGGACTAAACCTCTGCTGAAATGGAGTGCCCCATAGTCTTGAATGTTGCTCTTGTCTTTCGTTTTGCACGTGTTGAACATCCATTGGACATTAATGGAACTCTAGTTCCCAGAAATCCCACTGGCTGGCAGTTTTGAAATTGCTCATCGACTAATACATTTGATCAAGTTTTTGGATGCATAGATCTTGACAGACGCCAGTCTTACGAATAGCTAATTTTATAAATGTACAGCAGGAAAAACCCTAGCAAGCGCATTTAGTCTAAACCTAATTACAATATTGGCTTACATATCAAAACCCAATATCGCTAATTAGATTTCGGTTGTCAACGAAAGATCGGGAGTGCAGGTGGGTTTGTGGGAAATGCATGCAAAGGACAAATGCTCCTTGTTGAGAAAGGATCAAGTTTGCAAGTATGCAGATCTGCATTTTTGCAGCAGGTCTAAACCGAAACGCGTATCCAAGCTGTGCCCAAATCCCCTTGCATTGGAAAACCAACCCTGAAGCTGCCTGGCCGTCAGCGTCATTCACATGGACATCTCATACGCTCATCAGGGTTACATGGGCTTCCTTTGGAAAGCAATATTGAGAGGGGGGTGTGGGGAGCAGAGAACATGCTTGGCTCCCCCACCTTCACACAGTTTCATGTTTATGTGTGTACAAAGGATGCCACCAGCTACCCAGGAAGCAAGACGAAAACACAGGGACAACTGATCGGTCCACAGCTGCTATTCTTGTCTTATTTCCTAATGGAATAATTCCCAACACTCCGTTTTGTAAGCTGCCCCAAGGCTTTTTGCGAATGGGGCGGCATAGAAATGTTTTAAATAAATAAATAAAGGTGTCTACATCTGCATAATCATGGAAGCCGAAAAGAGGGTGATGAAATCAAATACAATTATTAAAAATGTGAGAAAGTACTAAACCCCAGAAGTGTTTGGGGCTGGATAACTCTTTGCAGGGTCATTTCTGCAGGGGAATGACGAGATCCTGACCTTCCTCTTTGTGACTGCCTTCAAGATACATGGTTCTTACATTCTGTATTCCTTGAACTTCTACCATCATTTCTGAAGCCAGCTAATCCCATCTTGTGGCGAATCATTTCAATGTGTGTTGCATGAAAAATACTTGCTTTTGTTTTTCCAGAGCTTATTGCCAGTCAGTGTGGGTACAGAAGCAAAAAACCCTTTCCCCACCCACGCCATTCATCCCTTCGCGCCCCCGTTAGTTGCTTTCCTTTTACAAGAAGTGAGTGGAGGCTTTGTGCTTGACAAGGCTGGCTCAGCCGTCGGGTCCTGCCCACTGCTGGCTCCAGGCCGGAGGTTTTCTTGGGACCCGGGGAAGCTGCACCAAAGCAGTCGCTCATGAGACTGTGTGTCTTGGGTCTCCCACAGGGCTCCTCTGAAAGTTGGGGCACCAGGTTCTCCTTTGTCTTCCTGAAACTACCACTGATCAGCTGATCTGCAGCCACTTCTGAATGGGCCTTGGAAGTTTTGTGGGGCTGGCTAGATTTGCACGTGTTTGTGTGTCATTAGGATATAAAAAGAGCCACCCTGGAGCTGGCCAAGGTCCTTTGAGTTGTGCACTCCATATTTACAGTGACAAACCAGCTGCCCGCAGGATCCCTCCAGCAGGACGGGTGCAAGGCCTCCCCCTGCCCAGCTCCTCAGCAACCTGTGCATGCAGACAGGCCACCTCTGCTGAGGCAGGGAGCAGATGGCCAGCAAGCCTAGTAGCCACAGATAGTCTCCACTTCCCTGAACTGCTCCGATCCCTTCTAGATTTCTGGCCATCACCACCTCCCATGACGGCGAATTCCACAGTTTAACTATATTCCCTGTGAAGAAAGATTTCCTTTCTCTGTCCTAAAACTCCCACCAATCAGCTTGATGGGATGACCCTGGGTTCAAGTGTTATGGGAGAGGTGGGGAAATGCCCCCCCCCCACTTTCTCCACACCATGCAGAATGTGAAAGCCCTTTATCATGTTTCCCCTTCCTCGCCTTTTTTCTAAGCTGAACATTCCCAGTTGTTGTGGCTGTTCCTCACGGGGGAGCTGCTCCACCCCCTAGTCATTTGCACTGCTCTTCTCTGCCTCTTTTGCAAGGCACCATGTCCTTTTTCAGGTAAGGTGACCAGAACTGAACGCAATATTCCACGTGTGTTTTCACCAAGGATTTGTAAGAGGGAAGTAAAGTTCTGGCAGATGCAGCCTCCGTTCTGTTGCTAATGATGCCCAGCATGGAGTTTGCCTTCTCCACAGCAGCTGCGCACTGGGCTGACATTTTCCTCATCTGTCCGCCACCACCGCCAGATCCCTTTCTCGCTCAGTCACTACTAGCTCTGGTCCCACCAGCGTATACTTGGAGTTGGGTCTTTCTGCCCCAACACGCACTGCTCTACATTTGCTTCTGTGGAACTGCATCTGCCATATTGATGCCCATTCCCCCATTTGGGGTCTGACATACCTAGAGGAATTACTCTCCAGCATTTCATAAAAACAGATCCTGGCAAACATGCTCCTGCATAGTCAAGCGCCAAACTGCATCCATAAACCACTTCAGCAGATGTAACGCAACGAGTTGCCAGTGCTGGCAGAATGAGCAGCTCCCCCAATAATCTCCTAATAGTTGTTCCTGCAGATGGCACCTGCCTGGTCAGGGTGGCCCAAGGGCAGAATTTCAGGGAAGGCGGTTCTCTCCTGCTTCATATTCTCTTCCTCAGAGTTTGGGGTCTGGTCGTTATTGTGGCCGAGAATCGAAACGCAACCAGACCATCTGGCCTAGAATTCACCAGCGAGAACCCAAAGCCTGCCCTTGAGTCAGTTACTGATTGTCAGGCTCGCTGGCCTCGCAGGCTCGCTGTGCCCTCCAGCCGAAGGATAGGCAAGATAGTTCTTGGCAACAGAAACAAGCCTTTGCTTCAAGATTAAGAGAATCTTTTTCCCAGACACGCTGTCATGAACTAGAATTCATTCCATCAGTTGCATGTGGGAAGGACAGCTGACAACCTAGCAATGCAACAAACCATCATGGCTTCTTGATGTGTTGTGTTGTGCAGACCCGCTGAATTTGATAGCATGAACTTCCTTGCTTACACTGGGGCCCAGCATGAAAGGCCTAATCTGCAGTCTTCTGTTTTGCTATCTGCCTGTGGGATGCAGGATCTTAGCCTGTGTCCTAGGAAAAAGGAAGGATTTTCCGATTCAGCTAATCGCTGGCCCTGAAACAGAGTTGGCAATGTCCAATAGCTGTTTCTGTTGGAAGGAAGTTACTAAACAGATAAATCTGTAAAGCAAAAAGGCTTAATCTTCACTGATGCACACGTCCTTTTACATTGTCTACTTCTTCATGGAAATTAACATATGGAAGGCAAAATGTGTTCCCTGCACCCTTCTGATGGCTAAAAAACTGATATTACAAAATAGGAAGGACTGATACTCACCTGCTACAACGCAAAGGGCTGAGGACTGTGATCGAGTGGTGTATGCAGGTCGCCTTCAAATGGATGCTGATTTGGATGCGTGATCTGCTTTTGTAAGAGCCCGTGTGAATATGCTAGAGAGCTTTATAAATGTTATTCATCTCTGCATAAGTATATTTAAAGTAGTGTGTGTGTGTGTGGGGGGGGGTGCCCAAGGGCAGCACATCAAAGAACCTTGCCTAAGTTGTTTAGGTTCCACTCATACCCAGAGCTGGCCCCATCTGTGAACCTGATATTTGTAGGGTTGTTGTTGTTGTTGTGATGATGATGATGTCACATTTATATCCCACCTTTCTTTGTCCTGTGAGGAGCGCAAGGCAGCCTGCAAGGGTCTCCCCTCTCCATCTCATCCTCAATACCACACCCTGGGAGGTGGGCTAAGCGGAGAGTGAGGGACTGGCCCAAAGCCACCCCGTGAGCTCTGTGGCTGAATGAAAACCAGACGTGGCTCTGCCCTCTCCAGCCCTTTCGCCATCGCTGCAGGCCCGAGCCTGCCCTGCAGCTATTGCAGATGCAGAATCTCTGCAGGAAGGGAAGCAGCAACCTCAAGCTTTCTGCATCTTTAAGAACAGCACCAAAAGAAGCCTCTCAGGCTTTTATCACAAGAATGCTGCAAGGAGGGAGGCTCAC